ATTGTATTTAAATACATTATAGACATCGTCCTCAAATACGACATCCTCCTCAATCGGACACAGCTTGAGCTTAGTCGGAAACTGTGCGATTTGGGCAAAACATGTGCTTTGCATTGAACCTGATGTAGTTGTAGTGGACGGCCCCCTCCTCACTCTTGAAGTAAGGACAAATGGGCAGATCTGGCTCAGTGGCAATCAACAAATCCGGATCTGTGGCCGTTGGCCGTCAAGCTACGTATTTCTAATACCATGTTCTCTAATAGTTTTCATATCGAAATATGCATAAGTGTGTATGAGCCCTTGCGCAGTTAAATGCTGTCGCACAATGCGTAGTCCACCAATTACTCGAGCCCTAGGCACCCATCGCTGGGCAAGCAAATCTGAAACCCGCATAGAGCAATAGCAGACAAACCTGCCATGGATGTTGGCCCCAACTGCGAAGAGAATTTGGGTGCCCTCCCGAGAAGTATGGAACTTGGTGTGTTTCGGATTCTGTTTACTCTCTTTTTCAATTGTCGGGCTTTGCATTGTTTAGTGATCCGTGCTGCCTGATAATTGGATATTTGGCAGACTTAGAGACTATATTTAAACTACCACTCAAGGATGGGTCCCACTGATTTACCCACTGACCTGGCCCGCCATGCCATCTGCAACCTTGCAATAGGATCCTTGCCGACTCAAAGACTCAACTGTATCCTCCCGCAGGCTTGCGCCTTTCCACAATACGAATAGCCCTCGTCAATCCATTCATAATCTTTCTTTTTTGCATAATAAGGAAAGGATCGGGCTTGGTCTTTACAATGTGAACACTTTGTGTTGACGCGTGTTCAGGCTTGGTTTTCATGTTCACGTTCACGTTTTCTCATGTAAGTTTTTACACGCAACAACATAAAATGCGAAAGGGTGTATTTGACGGCTATTTTTACGTTTTTACGGCTCTTGGGACAACCAGATTACATGATGAGAGTTGCGTACAATGATCAGTCTTCCGCCATCTCCGGCACCCACAACACAGTGCCCACCTCGCCATTGGCAAGGGCAATGACGGCATGGAAAGACAATTGGTTTTCTACCCATTCTAGCGCATCTGACTACTGCTCCCCGGACTCCTAACACTGTATGTATTGTCCTTTTATGCACGGGGCTGTATTTGCATTGTATTTAGTGAATTTTAGGCAATTTTTATGCATTAAAACGCAAAAATATTTTACGCGTGAAAATGTAAATACGTTCAAATATTACGGCATAAAACCCAAACCTATTTACACACAAAATAATGCTTACATTTTTGTGTGTATATGTGCTTTAAAATACATAAATTTTGCTTCGGAATATACAAAGACCGTACATGCAGACTCAAAGAATCTGGGGAGTGGCAGCCAGATGCGCTAGAGTGGGCAACAAACGACTTTTTTGTTCGATGACATCTTTGCCCTTGCCGAGGCGAAGTGGACGCTGTGCTGCGGGTGCTCGATGGGGCGGAGGATTGACCTTGCCATACGAATTCATAATGTAACGTGGGCGTCCCAACGAGCCGTAAGTATAGCCATAAGAATAGCCCCTCTTACAATTGTACGATTTTACGCATAAAAATGTAAACGTGAAAACGTATACGTAATGACCAAACCTGGCAAGGAGGTAGCTATCAGCTTCCTATTTGCCCGGGCGAAGCAACGTCCATGATGTGTTCGTTGGCATCAAATGCACAACACAAAAAGAGTCCATTATCCATCAATTCCCATTGTCAAGAAGTGTTTGCCGATGACAACACACGAAAAGACCCAACATCCGCCCATTCGCACCATCTATCCGCGCCAATTTTCCCAAATCCCATTCCCTCCCCAAAGTTTCTGGCACGCTGGGTGCTTTGCCGCCCTGCGCCCAGTTCAGTGAGGCCGAGTGGGGCTGGTGGAGGGCGGCGGGAAGGAGAGGCCCGCAGCAGCATGAGCGATGTGGTCCAGGCCCCTAACGCCCAAGTGAAAGGGAAAGCGGATCCATCGCCTCTGTCTGCAAGAACAGCGAAGGAAGCGCCGCCCACGCCAGCAGGTGCGCGAGGCCCGCTGAGGATACTCAGATACATGGATATCTGGGTGTGTGACGTGCCTGAGGATCCTGGAATGGTATATAATTGAGTGAGGCTGTGGTCGAGTCCTGTGCTGGGAATTCGGTCAAGGTGAAGGCTGTTCGGGAAGCGGATGTGCAAAAAGCGAAGTCAGGGGTTGCGCACTGTGAAAGAGAGGCAGGCGGCCATGCGAATCAGGTTGAGGGGGGAAAACGCGCAGAAGTGCCAATTGGGGGCGATATGGGGAGTTGAGATGGTAAGCGAGAACTCAACGATCTTGTGTTTGAAGGTCCCTCCCCGCTGAAAGCTGCGGCGGCCGCCACGCCTGTGCCATCGCCGGTGCCAATCGCGACGCCGGTGGAAGCGAGTGAGGCCAGTGCGTCATCGGACGCGAAGGAAAACTCGGAAGTGGGGACATCGGCGAGCAAGGCCAGCAACACGCGGAAGCGCGCCAGACAGCCCGGTGAAAAATGTCGGGATGAGAGGCAGGCGAAAATTCGCAACCTGGCTGGTGTGGAGGTGAGGGCCCAAGTTGGCAGGCATAAACCGTGCTGGCTGGCAAGTAGAGGGTTCGACATGCGCATTGGCTTATAGTGTGTGCAGTTCTCAGCATAAGGGGTGGCTCACAGTTGAACATTTACTACCTAATGTACATAATATACATATTGCGTACAGTTCTTGCTACAGGTTGGCTCACAGCGCAACGATCGCCACCTTACCGCCAAGTGGGTCTTGGATGAGCATGTTGGCTCATTATATATGCAATTCTATCATAGGTTTGCTCGCGCTCCAACCAGCGCCATCCAGCGTCGGACTGCGATCAGAGCTCTCTGGAGGGGGCTCCATGTGATGATGAAGCAGGGCAACCCCTTCGTCCCACCCCAGCTGCGACATCAAGGAGGCAATCTGCTGGTCCAGCTCTGTCAGGTGTGCGATTCACAATAACTACAGAGTTGTGCTTCACTGCCCGATGCTGTTTTTGATCCAGAGTAGGACGTCACCTGCAACAATCCCGGTGCCACCCCTGTTCAAGCAGAGAGATGCTGGATGTGCTGCAGAATGGCTGCTAACGTTTATTGCATTGCAATTTTGTTTTCTTCCTTTTGCATTTTGTTTCAAACTGTTCGATGCTGACAAGCTCAATTCACGACCATTGTCTAACATTATCTCGCACAAGGCTGTGAGGCAGGATGGGGATGCTTGCTGTGCAGGTACACCTGAGATCCAGATATTCAGTTCAGGAGTACTGGGGCAAGGGGAGATCTACAGACGGACCGCATGGTGGCAGAAGGTGCCGATTTGGATTATCGACTGTCCTGCCAATCGTGACCTATCCTTTTATTATAAATGTTGACTGGCACTGACATGGGAGGGCCATGGTGGCATTGTGGCCAGATTCATTGTTCTGGATTGAGATATCAAAGACCAAACTGTAAGCAGCATTTTCTTGTGCAGTGCACTTGGAGCTCTAACATGAGAGCCTGCCTGTGCACCTGATTGGTTTGTAGCGTTGGTGATGTTGGTGGACAGCCTTGAACTGGTCATCAGGCTACTTGCAAATAAGTCTTGCATGTTTCATACAAAACAGTGGAAATAGACACACAAAGCTGTGAAGCTGCAGACATTTCTCAATATTCGCCTTGGGGTGCACCTCTGCAGTAATCACTGACAATTGCCCATTGCATGTTATGTGCAGCGTGTCTGGCTAATTCGCCATGCTGAAAGCATGGCAAATGCCGATGAGGACAGGTGTGGGCAGGACATTTGTGACCCGCTATTGACAGAACACGGACATCAACAGGTCAGTTGAACTCCAATTAGTGGCACATTGGTGGAAATGCATTGGCCTTGAATTTAAAGCTTGTGGTGTCTGATGGGAGCATTTGCACTGCTTGCCAGGCACTCTCCCTGCGGAAGAACCTGACAGAAACACTAAGGAATGTTGATCCCAGCGATGTCCTTTGGGTGATATCGCCGCTTCGAAGGGCAGTCGAAACATTCATGAGGGCATGCCCGTGGCAGACTGCGCTTGAAGACAATTCATTGCATGTGGTAGTGAAGAGGTGAATCAACTGGTGTTTTGGCAAAGTTTAAAGTGCCAGTTTCAGGGCGATCATGCTCCCAGAATGTTGGAACCCAAGCTTCCCCTTAAATGGTCTCTTTGTTGTGCAAATTGCACACATGCGAAGAGTTCAATGAACATAGGGACAAATGGCAGCCTTGCCAACATAAGAACTCAAGTGCTGCTTGCATGCATGACTCGGATTATGTGTTCAGCACCAACCTGCGTTTTCACACTGTACATTAGTGGGGAGGTACAAGCTAACGATGAGTTGCCGGAATCCTTTGCTGCTGCAGTTTGGTGAGAGAGAAGAGGTGCGGCAACAATGGCGTGGGGAGCTCTGAGGCTGAGCTTCGCAGCGACTACCCAGCTGTGAGTGATTGCCAGCGCATGGCTGCAGTGCTGCAGCTCTGGCTTGGGTCAACCACTGTTTTTGCCAATTGCCCATCAACAACTCGCCTGTCATTGCTGAAAGGTGTCGCCAATAACATTGTGAAGGGTGCAAGACGTCGTCCATCGCCACCATGCACGTTGCCAATATGTGATTTTGACAAGATGGGACATTTTGCATGCTTCGTTATTAAATGCAACGCATGATTTCTGGTAGTTTTGCACAGATCGGACATGCAATCAAACTGTGTGAAAAGCCCAATTTGTTTTTGCCAGTGTAGAGTTTGATGACTTCACCAGATTGTCGTGCTGTTGGTGTTACTCAACTTTGTATGTGGTGTAACGGACTCAATTTGTGACGTTGATGGCCCTTGAGTAAGTCGATTGCAAAAAAATGATCCAGTGTGCAGATATCAAGAGTAGCAATGGGTGGGCTGCATGGGAGGGCAGAACAACGTGAGAAAGGAAATGAGCTATGTCACACATGTCATACTTCCCAGCACCCCACTGGCAGGTGGTCATTTTAGAAGCTTGCATTTACTGTTGAAACAAGTGTGTGGAGTTTTGACTTTTGGAAGCCACGAGATCTCAGTGCTCCGAAGTCTTGGGCAGCGAGCTGCTGTGTCAGGCACACAACTGCACGCGCAGAAGTATCCCGATTCCATCTGTGCCCCAACGAGTTGACCCGCTGTTTGGCACGTGATGCTGATACTGAACAATGCCTTTAGACACTGTGCCCCCTTTGGATTCGACACGACATCTGTCCAGGACAACCATAAAGTTGCCAGGTCCGCACCGTTTTCAATGCTCTGGCTCATGAGAAGTACTTGAGGCATACACATACTACGCAGTACGTTAGTAACACGTATGGAGCATTTCTCTGTGCTGAAGCAATGTATTCTGTGGCGCTGCAACCACAGCTGAGTTCCGCTCTTCAGGACTTGGGTGAATGCTGGTGGGGGACCACTCTGCAGGAGCCAAAGGAAGAATTTGAGGTAGGCATCGCCTCCAACGTTCACCTCGATTATTGCAGGCTTGTTGCTTGTGGCTCCAATGTGCTGCCAAAACAAAGATATACTTCCTCCGTCTCATATTAATTGTCGTCTAATTTTGGGGTATTATTTCTCTATCATGCCGGCACTTATTTTTAGTAAAATTTCGCGTATGGTTGTCTTTTTAAGTTAGAAGTACACCATAAAAATTTCAAGTCAATCCATTAAGTATTGAGGATTTGGCAGTACTTTGTATCAAGGGTCTTTTTACATAGTAAATCTCAATATTTGAGGTCGAAAATGACCAAAATTTACCTTCTCCTTGCGCTCAAAAGGGTAATGTCTCATTTTTCCTTCGTTAGAATTGATATTCAGGGGTTTTGAGATGCAATCTTTTCGATTTTGACCTTGTTTTAAAATTCTGAGGCTGTCTTTATAATAAATTTAACCTTTCAATTAGACGACAATTAATTTGGGACGGAGGAAGTATGCAACTTAGTGCAGCAAGGATAGTGGCTTCTTCCCTGCTGAGACATTTCTGAACAATTGGTTAGTGAAATGTGGGTCGTTGCCACTGTGTGACTGTGCAACTTACCATGTCTGTGAAATCAACCTTTCTTGCAGGAACGTGTGAGAACATTCCGGTTGTGGCTGCGAAAGCAGACACTGCCTGTTGTTGTTGTTGTCAGCCATTGCGGCTTCATACGCCAGCTTACTGGCTTTGAGGCCAATCTCAAGAATGCTGAGAGCGTGGAAGTTTACATTTAGGTGAGAGCTATATAGTCTCATCGACCGGTTGCGAAAGTCCAAGCTTGGGCAACAGGCTGCACTCATTGGTGGATAGTTGTTGCATGTGACAAGAGTATGACATGCAGTGCAGTTTCTCCCACAGGGTTTTCATGTCCTTCAGCTCATGGAATTATTTGAGCATCTTTTTGGAATGCATGCCCTGAGTCATCACTGTTCATGGGCCTATTCCCTTCATCGGTGCATATGTATGCACAAGTGACACTTCAGCAGCATGTGCATGTGTGTGTGCAGCCCATTTTGTCCTTGTGCATTGAGAGCCCATTTTTTGTGTTGATGGCAGATTGATGCATCTGTGCAACCCGCTCTGTCTGGCCCTCGTCCCTTGGTAGGCACCACCAGAGTGCGAGGGATGCACCATGACGAAGACAAGAGGAATGTAGAGGGATACAGGACTGGAAAGGGGTAGAGGGTAGGGGAGGATTAGAGAGTGGTTGGTGATGTGGAGGGCAGGATGGAGCCCAAGATAGATTTTGTGGCAGGAGCCACGGAACCAATGATCTATTCACGTTGGGCGGCGCTACGCCAACAAATGCAAATTCCACATTTTCAGGTGCAGCAAATACACCTCGGCAATGCCAGACATCCTCCATCAGTTCGTTCGCCAGCTGTGAGGTAAGCCTCCGGAAACGGCGCATGGTGGCCACAGCAGCTGGGGGATCCATCGTGTCTGCTCCTGCCCTTGCCACGGATACCAAGTTTCAGCATTTCCCAGTTTCAGCTTCCCAGTTGCAGCATTTCAATGAAGTCATCCACGGCCCCATCGGCCCCGCTGCTCATCCGCGCTGCAACAGCCTTCCCCGCGGCCAGAGCAGTGGCGTACGACCAAGAGTCGAAGTTTGCGTAGACGAAGTCGCTGGCCGCGTAGGAATTGCCATAAACGTCATCCGCAACCATGTTGGCCCCGAAATAGGCCTCCAGAAGGGGGAGGTTTACTGACGTCATGTTCTCTTTGTCCAACCTTCCGCCTCTCTCCTCCACGTCATAGAACGCCACCTCCAGCTCGTGCTCACGCACCAGCCTCACGAAGGTGCCCATGATGTCGCCAGTGGCTGCATCCAACATGCCCTTCTTCATGCCGGGACCCGAGGTCCGACCCGCTATCCAGTCAACAGACTCGCACTTGCGGAACTCCCGACGTCCAGCATGAAAAAGGTTTTCGAGCCAGGTGGAAAGGCTGGTGAGTGTTTAGAAAGTTGGTGTAAACCGCGTCCCTCATCTGCACGACCAAGATGACGAGGTCCTTGAATCCGCCGGCCCAGTTGATTAGGACATATGGGTGCGTGCTGTACTCCCTACATGTGAATTCACCAGGAGCCTTGCCGTCGTTCGAGGAGACGTCTATCCGTCGGTTGGGCGATGCACTTTCCGCCACTCCTGCGTATCCCTGGCCGAGGACCTCACGCCCCAATGGTCCATTCCTCGTCGAAGCAAAACCTGCACCCGAAGAAATCGTCTTGAGCCCACAATTTCAACATTAAAGGCAAACGCGCTGGCTGTCACATGTTTTATTCTGAGACGGGCACGGCAGGTGGAGCGAGGTCAGCGCAGGGGGGGCGAGGGGGGGCGAGGGGCGGTGCGATGTGGCGAACGGGCACGGAAGCGAGAGTGTCGCGCAGTGGTAGGTGCACACACGGCGCGTTGTCGGCAACTTCCCAGCAGATGGGGATCTGCACGACCTGCACTTGTGTCGCCTGGAGACGTCGATGCCGACGCTCTTTCCGCACCGTAACGACAGCACCACCGCAGTGCACTCAACCCTTGCGCATCCAAGAATTTAACTGCTGCACTTTTTGCTCTGCATTTTTTTCAGAGCGCTGTGTATGTTTTTTGCGTGTTGCTTTACAAGAATTTCATTGGCGAACTTGTTTTTTCTCCGCAGAACAAAGCCATGTGTTACGTTACTGTGCGAAAGGGTTGAATGTACTGCGGTACGTGCTTCTATCCGCTCTTGGCGACGAGAGCGACGAGGTGGCCGATGGAGGCGACGTAGCGCGGACGATATGCTGCACTGTGCCAACGGTGAAGCGCAGCATTAATGGTACATGTCGATACATATGTCGATCAAACAATGTTGTTTCGTCGAAATACCCGAGGAAGCGTGGCAGTACACACACCACTGTCAACCTATGCTGGTGGCCACCTGCCCTTGCGCCGCCTCAGACTGAGACCCTCAGTCGCCCGCAGTGCTGCCTACATAGGATTATATTCATGCATTGGAACTTTCGGTTCTGCTCCAATTCCTAATGTTCAACTTCGGGCGGCACATGTTTGATGGTGGTTATGATGCCTCATGGTCGCACCGACTAATTGGTTAACACATCTGTACACGCATTCTGTGCTTCCTCATAGGCGGACTAGGAACAAAATTCTTGTGATAGTTCCATGCCGCTGTGGGCACGCTTGGCGCTCTCACGATCTCAGTGATCGCCAGCCTCGGTAAGCTTTTGGGACCTGATTGGCTCTTTGCGCTATTTGCAAATTGTGTGGTACCGGCAAGTGTGTGGCACGATGTGGGGACCACGCAGGTAGGAGCCGCAAGATCCATGCGGACTTTTGGCCTCTTCCTTGCGTCACTGTTTCAGGCCCATTTTCACCTGGGAAGCATGGGAGGTGCTCCTGAGCTCCTGTGCGGGCTGTTGCTCACTGGCGGCTTTTCCTTGGTCAGCTTGGATTCCTTTCTGCGGAGTGGTCTTGGACATTTCAGCGGTTCGTTAGTGCACTGATTTTCTCCTTCACTGCCGCGAACTTGTGTGCTGTGATGGCGTGCACGCCCCCACGTGGGGGCTGGGGTGTCTGCCCAGCACCGTGAGTTTGACACGACTCACAATCGTGGGACGCTGTACGAATGGTCTGTTTATCGCAACGCGCTGTGTCTTTTCCAGAAAAGAAGCCGTTTTGCTGCCAACCTCACCCCAAGGGAAGGGGTATAACACTCCACTGGCATCCCTCCTTTGAAAGCAAATTGATTGCGAACCTCGCATTCCAATGCGACTGAGCTCGGCCCACCAAAAGCAATGTCCATGAAGCGCATGGCCGCGTTTCACTTGCTCAAAACAACGCATCGGGCACTGTTCTTTCCGCTTCCTTTTTCCCAAAGGAAGTGCATGTTATAGCAGGCACTTGCAGGCTTGGGTAACGTGGACATTTCGCATTCGCAAGTCCAAATGGTTCGGATGAATCGCGTCCGGCATTTGTGCACCGGGGCTATGGGCACGTGAGCTTGCAAATAGCCCGCAAGGTGGACGGCCCTGGGTGTGCGCACACGACGCGCCATGTGCTGCTCACAAGCTGGCGCCCGCAGAACCAGGTGCAAACCCGCCATCCAACCCCGTAACTTCACCACTCACGAGTGCGCCAGCACACTCCCAACCGTTGCGGACAGATGAACTTCTCATTTCGCGTCAGTTCAGCGCACTGTCCCATCGAAAGGCCCCCCCCTACTTACTCCTCTCGCACCCTTCACCCCTGCTGCGCCCCGGAGATTCAGCCCAGGGCGTCGCAAGGCCGGGGCTGCGCAATCAATCCCCCGTTGCGAAGTCTTCCCGTAGCTGAGCATCCAGCCCCGCGCCTTCCCTCCGCGTGCTCAAACGTTTAGCGCTGCTCCACACCTCCCTCAGCGTCGCACGCTCCAGATTGCCGTCAGTCTTCCGGCTGCTGTCCTCAACATCACATGACGGGGGGATTCAAAGGGGTTGCCTGAGTCACGCGGAGTGCCGAGGCCAGGTGAGCTCCCTCGGCATTGCCCTTCATCCCGCGATGTGCTTCGTTGCTTCGTCCCCACTTTGTCTATTCGTGTCAGATTTCAGCAAGAGAGGTTTGGGCGACCTTGGAGCCATGTGCAGGCAAGGGGCCGTCGCCGTGTAGTACGCGTGCACTTTCCTGCCGTGCTCACGCGGTCCGCGTGTTGGGGGCCGAGGAGGAAACGGAAAGGTCGGCTGCGGCAGCATACCGCGTGCCCACGCGGGCTAGCTGCCTGCCTGCGTGACCGGGCGCGAGATTGCATTCGCATGGATCGTGTAGGCCATCCGCGTGCATGTGGATGCACATGCATGGTGGGGCCGCCACTTGGGTGGAGTTGCAAATGATTGAAATCTAGTCGCCGTCGCCGTGTGGCGCGTCCTCCCTTCCGCCGCTGCGGAGCCAACCACGTGCGCCTCTGGTTCGAGGAGCCAGGCCCCTGGGTCAAAGATTTGCACCTCGTCGACGTTGGCGGCTTCCTGCCGCCGACAGACGCCTCTGCTGACCCTACGGTTTGCTCCGCGCTGGAGAAGGGTTACTCATTGCGTGGCTGCACTGGCGACGATTGTTTGCGGCTGTTTGTGAACATCGCCTTGAATGATGGTGCTCTCAGACAGTGCGCCGAGGACGGCATTGCGCCATGTGACGGGAGCACAGCGGCGACAACAGCCAATCTGTCGCCTCTTTCGTGAATCTGGCGAGCACGATAGTCCGCTTTTGAAGTCGCATAGGCAGCGGGAAATGCATTCTCCGCGGACTTTGTTCCATCAACTGATGAAGCAAAAGTCGGCAAAATATCTGCTATCTTTGGTTCGTATTAAAGGTGGTGCGACAAGTTTAATTCGCCACTGGCACATCCATAGGGGCTGTCGCTCCGAGAAAATGTATGCTAGGTTGTCCTCAACAATGGCGCATAGCCTGAGTTTCATATTGTCACACTTGCTGCTGGCCCAGCACATGACTTTGGCGTGGAGCTCCAGATGCTTGGCGATGACGGCGATGGGGTTAGTTTAGTGCATGTTTTGGTTTTTAACAGAATTCAAAGTGCCTCAATGCCATAGTAGCATGCTCTGAATAAATGCCATTACTGTAGGTCGTCAACAGGTCCATACGGATAGAGAACAGATCGGAACGGTTTGCTCATGGATTTCTTGCTGCACCTTTAACAACGTACCCCGTTATGGAGATCATGGACAATCACGGTCATTCTGGGTGAGGGTTTCTGCCCAACATTATCTTGCAAGTGTAAGGGATTGCATGAGACCAATGCAGTCAATATACCCAGACACAAGCTCAAAATCCAAGCCATTGAGTGGCCAAAGTTGCTGCAATTTATGATTAGATTCAAAGCGAAAACGACAAAATAGTGATGACCTCGATGATGCCAAGTCAAGGACAGCAACACCATGCCTATGTTGGTTGGTGGCTGGTCGGGAGGCGGCACCGTTTCTAACTGAACAGTTGGTGCCTCCAGCACCTGCATGCTATAAGCCCCAGCTCGCATGGTATGTGACTGCAACGCATTGCAGGTGTTGAGCAGCACTTTTGGATTGCCTCACCAGGCCATGAAACAGAGGGCCTACAGCCTCGTCCCCCAGTCCTGGGACCAGTTGGAGCAGGGGACTGCTCCCACGGATGGCGGCCTCCCAAACACACCAGATGGCAAGCTGTCCTGGTCACCACAACTCAGTGAGAGGCGAGGGTCTGACAGCTCCGCCAGCAGCAGCAGGCACTGGTGCTTGCCCTCAGCGTGCGGCTGGTGTTTCAAGCCAGTGCTGATATGCAAGCTGCGGCTCAGCCCGGCGTGCATGCTGTTCAGCTTCTTCATCGTCTGGGTAAGCTTCCACGTTTTGAGCCAGGTGGACCTGCAGGCTCTGGGCGAGCACCGGTGAGTCAATTTTTTGTGGCGCTCTGTTTGGCATCAATGTCAATGACAATAAGAAAAAACAGAGAATTCTGGTCGTGGTGTGACTGCATTCTCAGCCATGGATGTACTTGCTGGTATTGAGGACCAACTCTTGCACGTTGATGTGCATCGGCATGCTGATGGTGAGCCTCTTTTGGCTCCCGGCTTTCTCCAAGATGAATCATGGTTCATCAGCTTATCGAGCAATGCTGCCACATAAGTACGACTTATTTGTGCAAGCCAGCAATTATGGCCTCCTGCTTCGAGTCTTTCTTTGTAGAAAAGAAGTGTAGGCACCGGCACAACTGTTTTATTGCAGCCTTCCTGGCACAATGCGCCAGGAAACAACAATGCGCGAGGAATCCATCATTGCACGGCCTCCAAAGCGTAAGGGCAGCGATTGTCATGCCCACCTAATTTTCAACGTCCTTTCTTGCAAATGCAATCAAACAATCTACACATTCATTATCAGGAAGGATTTTTCCATGACAAGCTTGTGGTATGTAACGGCTACCTCTCTACCTCAGCCTCCACCGAAACTCCTCCGCATGATCCGCAGGGTCGTTCTGGACGCCCAGCTTGACGCCATCCGGGCCCTGGAGCCCCCATGCGCCGCCCTGTGCAAGAAGCCCCTCATGGGCGCCGTGGCCACGCACCACCGGACCGGCACCATGCTCTTCTCATACACGACCGGAGACATATGCCAGGAGTTCGGCCTCGACTTCGAGCTCTCCGACGACAAGGTGAATCTGCCGAGCCCGAACGACACCGCCACCACCAAGTACGTGGCCCTGGATGGGGCGCGGCAAAGGCTGATGGTGGGCATGCATGGGTACGGGGAGGACTGCCCAGAAGGGCCGGAGCCGTCAGTCTACTGCGGGGATTTTGACGTGGACTGCTGGCTGCAGGCGTGCAGGCTGCGAGAGCCGGGGGAGGTGGGGCACCTTGAGGCGCGGATTACACTGGCAGGCAGACTTGTCATTTGCACTGCAAACACAGATCGTGTTGTAATTTTCGTTTTGATGCGGAAAACTAGTTTTACGTTCTTACGCGCAAAGAGGTGTAAGAATACGTAAATACAACGTAAATCCCCGCCCTTGTACATAGAGACAGTTACGTGTAGACTTATGGGAGTGGCAGCCAGGCGCGCTGGAATGGATAGAAAACGAGCTTGCTCGCTGCCCTTGCCGAGGGCGATGTGGACGCTATGTTGCGCATGCTCGAGGGGGCGGAGGACTGCTCATTGTACGCGACTTTCATCGTGCAACCTATATGTTACCTAGCTAGGTGTCCCAACGAGCCGCAGAAAAGTATACACAGCGGTAAAAATAGCCCCTTTGCGAATTTTCGTTCCTGCACGAGAAAACGTAAACGCAAACGTAAATAACAGGCGTGCTAGCAGAGAATAACGTTGTTGCAGTGCCAACTGCCGTGGCATTTTGACGCAAAGTGGCGCCATCATCAATTGAAGTCAATGGCATCGCAGCTGCCATCGCAGTAAAGTCATTTTCTGCTGGTGTTGCGGGTATTTTCATCGATCGATCCGGGAAAGAAGTGGCAGGCGTCGAGCGGCCTGAGGTGTTTCACACGGATGGCCGTTGAAGTGTCCCAGGCTGCTCTCTGGCCATTTGTCATTGCGGACTTGTTTAGCGAAGGGATGGATTGGGAAGCTGTTGGAAGGATAAATGTTGAAGCACCGTACTTAGAAACAGAACAGTGCGAAATCGAAGGGTCGAGAAGCAAGCAAAACGTCTGTGTGTGCGTGTGTGTTTGAAAACGCTGTGTTGCGCACTTTCCGTTTTGTCTATACAAGATGATAGAAAATGTATTTTTTTGTAATATATTTTAAATTATATTATATTTTATATTATTCTGCGTATATACGCAGAGTGCGCTTCAGAAATACGTATTTTCGGCTGGACAGTTGGCTAGCCCAGTGACGGATTGATTTTGGGATTGGACGATTGTTTAATTGACAAACTGTTTAAGTTATTGGTTCATTGACTGATTAAGTGATTGATTGATTGATTGATGATTCGATGCATGCAAAGGCGGAGGCCCCCATTCCAGTCGTGCATGTCGTGAGGAACCCAGCTGACATCCTGGTGTCTTCGTACCTGTACCATCGGCGGGGCACGGAGGAATGGCTTCAAGAGCCCAACCCAGGAGCACTGAGCGTCTTGCCGGAGGACCTGCAGCGAAAGCACGCCGAGACGGCTCTTTACAAGGTAGCGCACCCAAGCGCTTGGTGCAGCGCTGCGATAACTTTTGGGGCGACACTAAACGGCAGCATCCAACCGCGATTTTGAGTTAATCTTTATTACTTGTGAATGCTCATATGAAGACACGCGAGCGCCTGTTGGCACTGCGGTTCATTGTTGACAATACAAACTGCCGGTTCACAGTATATTGCCTGTGGCCAGTTCATTGCATGTACTTGATTTTCGTGGGCACTTGCACATATTTGAATATGAGCTAGTGCGTATTGGAACAGCGAAAATTCTGTAGCATCGTACTACTGTAGTAGTACTAGTAGTACTGTAGGTATGATACGCTCGCCACAATGGGGAACTTGCGCAATGAGACGACCAATCGCACGTCGGAACGCCCAACAACATAGAATAACCACATGTCAAGTGATTGCCAGTAAACCACTTAGGTACTCGACGACATAGCGACTATAATATAATCCTGTTGGACAGATGTCACATCGCAAATTGAAGATTCGCCATTGATTTGGGATGATATTTATGGGTGTCTCTCAAATGCCTCACAACTGGTGTTCGATTCTCAACAATTTTGGCGCGGATTAAACGCTCAAACGCGCAAATGCTGATCCGCACATTCGTTCAAACAAAGCCCGCATGAGGCAGAATTTGAGCCACCGAATGCCGGTCCACATCGCAGGCGCTCCAGGCGCTGGATGTGAGCTCAGGCCTCCTGGTGGAATTCCACTCCTCAGCAGGCGATATCTACAGGGGTGCCCGCAACCACAGGGACCTCCAAGACAAACCCTGGGCGCTGAACGTGCGCTACGAAGACCTGCAGAAGGACTACGACGGGGCGATGGGCCGCGTGTACTCGCACCTTGGACTGGGAGAGATGTTCGGCCGCGACAAGCTGCTTCTGGTGCGCCGAGCGCGGCGGGGTGGAGCAGAACCGGGCATCCATTGCTGTGCGTTCTTTAAGTGTTTCAGGGTGGCGACACTGGAGGCATTCAAAGTGGGCTTTGAAGCCTAAAAAACGGTGGAGAGCTCTTACAATAAAGAACAAATGAGTATAAGTATGCATATGGTTGGACAAAACAATTGGGTGTCCATTGGGGTACCCAGCATCACATTTGAATGTTTGATGTCTCTTGCAGATCAAACATGAACCGACAGCTTTGCGGCTCTTGATTTGCATATCGCACACGTCATCTTTTCGTAAACTGGAAGCGCCGTTGCGCAATATTGCAGAACTGGTTCGCCAGTGGCCAGGTTTGCAACGCGAATTCAGCTGAGAGGCCGTGCAGATTTCAATGCATTCACAGCCTTGATGCAGGTGGCCAAGAAATTCGATCTGCACAAGATGCCTGAAGAAGACCGCCACAGATACGCGGTGGACGCCCACGTTACCGGTCAGGAGCACTCGACCAGGGAGGGCATCAGGGACGTGGTTGCGGGGCTGCCCGACCTGAGGGTGGCGTTGGAGCGCCTGGCCAACCTCACGGGATACGCAGGCGCTTCTTTTGGCTGATGCAAAGCTGAAAGCCACCCCAACAAGCAGAAAGAAAGCGCTGGCAAGCGCGGAGATGCGCATGTGAATGCTCTCAAGAAAATGCGCTGGAAGCATGGTTGTGCATGTGTGTATAAATCGCTGGATTGGCGGGAAATTCGTGAATTTCCCGAACAGGCTTTGGGGAATTTTGAATTGAGGCTTAATACTCGAAACGACTTCCTCGTTCCACTTGTTCTTGCAAAGGCACGTGATTCGCGTGAGGGGGTGTTCGGATTTGTTCAACAGCTGCAAGATTTCGACCATGTACTTTGTGTATCAGTTGCTCAACCAAGATTCCATTTAATTCTAGCCTTCTTTGAGAAATCTAGTTGCATTGCCTAGGAATTATAAATGCACTCTGCTGACGGAGGCGTGCTCTTTCTGGAGCGCCGCGCCGGGTTGCTTTAGTTGAGCGGATGGATTCTCTTTTGCGATTGTCTGTTCTTGAGGCAAGTGCAGTTCGGCGTGGCTTTAGGCCTTAGGAGAAGGGCGGCATGCTGGCACCCCGATGCTTTTGCAAATCCCAGTTGCCGTACCGGACACAAACAGATTCTGTCACGGAGATCATAACAGGCGGTGGCAATTGAGCCCACCGTTCTAGCGGCTCTCAAAGATGCCGCAGCTCGCATTCGTTCGCGGTGAAGTCTGGGTGTTGGGTGCCGGTTCCATCGGGATGCCAAGCGTGTTGTAAGGAGAACATGGATTGATAATGCACTCGGCTGCTCACTAGGATGCGTGCTTGCTATCTCCGTCAACTCTGTGACTTTGCATCATCTTTGTCACTTGGCGACACTCATGCACTGCCAAAACCATTCCTAACTGTGCGTGGCTGGCTGAATGGCTGTAGCTCCGCAACCACAGCTGGAACTTCCTGCTGCGGACAGGGAGCGAGAGGGTAAGTGTTCCATTTGATTTTCTCATTTGAAGGGAATATGGTTTGAAGAAACAATGTTCAAACTGTTCAAAAAATTTCCTAAAGATGAAAAGACAAATGCATTCCATCTTTAGAAGAAGTACAAATACCTCACTTTGTTGAGACATATTTTCTCCTTCGGAGAAGGGGGGCTTGGTGTCCGATGTCGTTGTAAAATTGACGGAGGTTTATTTATAACATAAATATTTATTATACTTCGTCAGCTTTGTAACGGTAGCTACCGTTACATTAGCCGCATAGGTCTACTGTTCCAACCGGATTGGGACGCCGTGGTGCAGGCTTCCGGGAAATACAAGGGTCTTGAAGGAAAGGCCGTTGATGCAATTCAAACGGTTCCCCTTGGACTGCACACGGGAAGCGCGAATCCACGATCGCCGATGCTTCAACGGGTTGGCACACGGCCAGACGCAAGGCCACACCACACACAAAACGCCTGGGGCTTACATATTTGCTCACCCTTCCCACAACGAAGAGCCTTGGCGACGGTGGCAACGACCCCCAAACGAACAATTCGAATCTCTTTGCACCCACAGAACTTTCCTGTTCACACGACAAGGACCATCATCCATCACCAACCAGCCATCCAGCACTTCCAATGTGCCTACGCATCACTGCGGTACAACCTATTTTATAAGACATATGTCAAAGGTGCCCATACGCTCAGTGGTAATGTACAAATATGTACAGGTCGTACACCATAATGCATAAGCGATCCACCCATTCACCAGTAGAAAACAGCCTGTTTGCGATGCCAGCTGCGATGCCATTTTGACACAAATTGATGCCATCACAGCCACTTTTATGCCATCGCACTCACTTTGACAGCATCAATTTGTGTCAAAATGGCATCGCAACTGGCATCGCAAACAAGCTGTTTTCTGCAAGTGATTGAAACGGTGGTCATGATGCGGTGCTGCAAACAAGGGCAAAACAACAGGGTGACTCGATTCGAAGAAAGCCGCGAGTCCAGCGAGAATCGGAGGCGTGGGTTGGGAGGGCGCTGAGGAATTGACGGCATGACTAGCCAAGGATCGAGGCTACAGAGCGGCAGAACTTGCAGGGAGGATTGATTAAACCGCTTGCAAGCTCACCCCCTCTAAGTCCTGCCGCCCATCGATCCACGAAAGGCAGCACAGCTGCTCACCCCGCTCAGTAAGACCCCGTGGGGACACCGCCAGCCTGGCGGGCCGATTTGATGTGGGGCGTGGCGCTGACCTGTGCGTTGACCACGCCGACCGGTCAACGCACAGGTTTGACCGGTCAGCGCCGCACCCCCGCTCAACCGCCGTGACCAGCGTGTGGCGCGGCCTCTCTGCAGGAGACGCGCTGGGCGGTGCGCGGAAAAGGCGAGGACTGAAACGGCAACGGCGTTACGCCGGCGGCGTAACTTGCCGCGCCTTCCCTTGGGCGTTTCGCGCGATGTCGAACCAGAAACCAGGGCAAATTTCAAGCGCGATTGTCTTTGTCCTTTAAGGGGAACTGAGGGCTTGGCGAGAGGGGGAGGGATGCGATCATGAGTTGGAGCAGTGCCCGGGGGACATTGTGGTGTTGCCGGTTGTAACGGAAGTGGTCCGGCGAATTTTGTGCAGATAGTGAGGAGAGAGTGAGGCTGTTGTGAGGCGAGGTGGCTTGTCGGCCGCGGTGACGATTGCCTTCGCCGCTTATAGCACGGGGAAATGGGGCTGTCGGTGCAGAGCGCCGAATGTCTGGGGAGTTGGGCTGAGCCTGCACGCATTGTGGCAAGGCAGGTGTTAACGGGAAAGATTGGACGAATGGTGTGCGGACGTGGGGGAGATAGTGAGGGCGCCGGACGCCTGGGACTTTGCCTGCGCCTGCAGATCGACTTGGAGCAGGGAAGGCTTGGAAGACGCGGAAACCCCGAGAGGAGTGCTTGCTTCTCCGCCATTTCACAATGCTGTGCAATGCAGTTCACGTCTCAGGGGACGGCGAACAACGGGCATCCCATCGGGCCGCCGTCCGTCGGTGACACAACCCCTCTGCGACTGCACGCTTTCGCCGATCGCCCCCGCTGCGCGCCGCCGAACGGGAAAGATAAAAACGCCGTCGACTCGACATCCCTGCGGTCCGGTCCATGCACAGCGGCGGAGGGCGTTACAAGACGCCTCCGTAACTCCGGATGGGCGTCACAGATCCGGTCCCCCCTCCGGCCAGCCGTCGCCAGGAGTGCGGCTCCCAGCGAGGCGCGGGCACACAACTTGCCGAAAACGTGCCGAGAACAGTGGCCCATGGGGCGCTGGGCAGAAGGCCTTGCTGCGCTCCGGAGGGCCGCGTGGGCGGCTCTCGTTGCCGGTCTCGCCGCAGGTGCCTCGTCAGGCTCTGAGATTCCGAAACTAAGCACACGTGGGACCTCTCCAGGCCCCATGCCAGACACCAGGGTTGCTCCCACCACGCCCAATATGCGAATTCGCCAAGCAGCGCATGGCCAAGCGTCGGGCGCTGATGCCCCCAAGGCGCTCCCCATTGGTGGCTGGCTGGCCAACCCCTCTGGCCTCCATTCCGTCGCCGCTCGTAAAACCCGAGGTTTTGCAGCCCCTGCCTCACCCCCGCCAGCCGCCGCCAGCGCCGGTCGGATGCCATGGGCCTGAAGAAGTCGAGCGCGGCGGCGACGATCAACGGTTGGTCAACGCTGTCAACGGGGGATGTTGACCACGGTGTTGGGCGCGGTGACCCCGCGGCGCCCCGATCCGGCCGACTGGAGGCCTTCCTCGGCAGGCACCGGATCCTGGCGGCGCTCCTGGGCTGGGCGGCCGAAAAACGAATGATTTTTCCAATTGCTGGAAAGTCGAGAAAGTCGAAAACAATTTCGGCGAACTCGGGGTTCGGCAGTGTCAAGGGTGGGAAGGGTGAGATTGGGTTGAAGCGCGAGAAGGCCGCGCGGTGCATCGACTTGGCCAAGTACGTGTCCGCCGGCAAGGCCAGAGGGAGCGATCCAAATGGGATGGTGTACGAGGAGGAGGCATGCGGGGAGAGGGGCTTGACGGTGGATCGGGGGGCCATCGTGGACACCGCGCCGAGCGCCTGGGTGTCCTGCAGCGCTTGAAAATGTGTTCGCAATTGCCAACATCTGGCCTGTCGGTCGGGGAGCCAATTGTGATCGCAATTGTTGGAATCTGGCCTGTCTTGTGGCGCTCAAGAATGTGATCGCATTTGCCGAAATCTGGCCTGTCTGGCGTGGAGTGGAATGTGATCGCAACTGCCAGAATCTGGGCATCATGGGGGCTGGGGGTGGTTGCCGAGGCGCCTGGCGGTTTTTGGGGCGGGGCGGGATCTGTGTTCTTGGCCATGGTCAAGGTGGAGGGGGCTGCCTTGTTGTGGGAAGAAAATGATCGAGCGGCGCTGTTTTGAGAAGAACTGCGGGTTGGAAGGCCGGCGCTCAGGGAGGGCGTTGTCGTGGGCAGGGGGGCTGGGAGGCTGAACAGGTTGCTCGCCTGGGAATGTTGTTGAAGTTGGCTGGCTCCCCTCACGGGGCCGTTGAAGCAAAGTACTGTCACTGTACTACGCACATCATCGCACTGTTGGTAGTTAGGGCGGCTTGCCGGTCGCGGGTAAATTGGTGAAATGAGCGTTTTGGGAGGGCTGAGGATTTGGGCAACCATCGACGGACATTTCATTCGCGCGGCGCAGGCACGACGGAGTCGTGCGCGTCCATAGCTCTGGCATGAAGCACTGTGCATTATACTTTTGTAATGTATAATATGGGCGCTTGTCCCATGTGGATGCACCTGGCCGCCTGGTCGTGTGAATGCGTGGAGTGAGGTCGGACTTGGTTCGTGTGGAGATGCGATTGTGCGGGTAGCGCTCCATGGTGGTCGCCATGAACCATGATCATCATGATCCCATGCTCATCGCGATCCCAAGGTGGTCACGATGGTTCTGTATATAGCAATCAGCAGTGCGTGACAAACAACTTTCACTTTGAGGACGATGGCAGGTGCGGCGGCATCTGGACAAAGTTCTTTTCGATCCCTGCCGATCCGTCTACTTTTGCGCGCTTGGTCGTTCGATGGAAAGTGCCTCTGCTCGTCTATGTTTTTGCAACATTTGCAAGAGGCCAGCCCGATATGAAAAATTCTGCAAGTGATATTAATCAGTTACTGTCTACAGGATAAGCAGTAAATGATTGGTAATGAGTGGTCAGGCCGTCGGGCAGTGTGGAGTGCAAAGCTAAGGACCAAAGTGTGGCCGCAAGGGTAGACGGAAGAGACACTCATCAAACCAGAATTACAGCGGGATCCTATTCAAGATATTCCGAAATCCTGATCCCAGACATCCCTTAAATCTAAAAAATTAATCCCTTTTTCGAATTTCTAAGATCTTCGACAGCCAAAAGTGAACATACTGAGCTGACGTCGACGCCTGCTTCTTATCGTCTGTCTTGGCGAGCTTGGCTCAGCGACGACCTCAAGGGTTTTGCAAGTGCAAAATAAAAGAAAATAAATATATAAATAAATAAACATAAATATATATAAATATATAAATATATATATATATAAGAAAAATTTGCAAGTCCACTGTACCCGCTGTCCAGACACGGGGTATGATGGGCGACGGCATTGACGGGGCTCTGGGAAGGCTCGTTAAACGTGTCAGGCTTTGTAGTTTTGTGTTTATTTCCAAAGACTGCAGCACATGTTTTGGATGCAATATTTTGGAAGACTTTCTGAGGTGGAAGTTGCAGCGCAGACTGCGAAGAGGCAAAAGCGCGACGACACATACAAAAAATTTGAAAGCAAAAAGAAAGCAAAAAAAAAGAAATGAAACGAAACGAAACAAAACAAAACGAGATTGGACGGGACGGGACGAGACAGTGCGAAGAGCGACGATAGGGAGCTGTGCAAATTCCCAGGCAGGCCTGTAATTAACGCCGTAATCACAGATCGTACTTACGTTTTGGTGCATAAAAATAGCTTTTACTTTTTCACGCGTAGCAGCGCGTAAAAATACGTAAATGCAACGTAAAAACAGCCCTATGCACATAAGGACAGTATATACAGCCTTAAACAATAAGCCTGCTTATAGGGGAGCTGAGGTGCAGTGCGGTGATGTTGAAGAGCAGGCCGGGGCTTGTCAGTCCGACCTTGGCAACCCTGACGGGCCACTGACCGTTCACAGTCCAGAATCTGGACTAGAGATGACGAATGCACAGCCCTGGCATCCGCAAGGCGATGCTGTGAGCGAGCCAGCGTGCAGATTGCGTGATCAAGATAACGTGTACTTCCAGTAGTATAATAAGACAGGATCGCTGTCAATAGCACTTCATCCGCCCAATATTAGTTGTCCTGCATGATTTTGGGGCATTGCTTCTCCATCGCACCGACATCTGTTTTCAATCAAAGTTTACCCGAAGTTGTGCTTGCACGTTAGGAGTACACTATCGAAATTTCAAGTCAATGCATTAGGTGTTGAGGATCTGGCAGTGCTTTGCATCAAGAGTCTTTTGCCTAATAAACCTCGGTATTTGGAGTCAGAAATAAGCAAAATTCACCTTTCGCCTAAAGCTTAAAGGGGTCGCGTCTCAATTTTTTCTTCTTGAAAACTGTATACAGTTAACTACGTAGTTTAGTGAATGGTTTGGAACCCGATCTTCCGACTTTGAACTTGTTTTATAGTTTTGAGGCCGTCGTTGTAACGAATTTTGTGTTTCAACAAGAGGGCAATTAATCTTGTACGGAGAATGTACATATTATGTACGATATATTACTACTGCGATGTAATGTATACGATCACTGTCAGCACTACAGCAAGATCACTATGAACGCCAAAGTCCAATTCCTGTCCAGTTCCTTGCCCACACGGGTGTTCGAATTACCAGAAATTGACCACTGATCTGCCCCCGTCAATTACTGAATTGTAAGCCGATGACCAAATGGTGGCATATGAGGATCCCGTGCCAAGGAATGCCGTCAACAATATCTTTGAATGGATGTCACCTTTCCTCGATGTTTCACATGCAACTTTCCAGTTCTCTTGACTGGAGATCGATGGCTGAAAACTGATGTGCAGTGAAACGTAATGAGAGAAGTGAAGACAGATGAAAGAGCCAGTTCAAAGAGATGAAAGTCTGTGGCACCAAGACAGCCGCAGCTGCCATGTTGTGCAAGCGCCTGTTCATGTGCTGGCTGACTGGTGCACACCTTGACCTGATTAAGATGGCGGGAGGACGGCTGGCCAACAATAAGCTTCAATCCTACTAATTTGGTGATCGTGAGTTGGTGCCATGAGTTGTAGCTGTCGGTCGGTGCCGTGGGTCGATGCTATGGGTCGGTGCTGTGGGGTAGCGTGTTGTGCGTGTGTGAAGTTTGAGTTGAATCCGGCGTTCTGAGTGTGAGTTCTGGTGGGCGGAAAAAGAGGCGCATTCTAATATTTAGAGAGCCCGAGACTTGTTCGTGGCTTCTCTTGGTTTGGTTGTAATACAAGTTGGGTCTTGGCTGCTTGTCCGACCATGCACGGTGAGTGCGTTTGAGCACCGCGTCCACCAAGGTTGCCGCAGAGGTCGAGCCAAAACTGTTTGACTTGTGCTGCGTTGTGGCCCATCGCTGCGCGCATTCGATTGCGACGAGCAGGTTCTCGAGCCGGGAAGGCTACGGAACTTTGACAATGGGTAGGTTGGATAATTGTCCGGCGCCAGAGCTAAGCCCAGCGGCGTCAGCTGCCCCCAAACTTTGTGCCCTGGGCCAACTGTTCGCCTTGCGCATCTTGTGCTGGCATGCAGGGTTGTTGCGCCACAGCAGAACACAAATGTTCACAACTCAATTTGGGCGACAACGCCAAAACGGCGAAGCCAAACATAGCAATGTCGTGATGAATGCATCCGGTGTGAGTGGGGTGCTCTGCTGGTCATCCAAATTTGCTTTCAGAAAAAAGGAATGCCGAAGGAAAAGGATTCCATCGCCGGGACTCGAACCCGGGTCGGCTGGGTGAAAGCCAGCTATCCTAACCACCTAGACTACGATGGATACATTTTTGCATCTAAAATTGCAATATCTTCTTATTTTTTGCCGCTCACAGTAACACCGAACCTTCAGCTTACTCTGCAGCCTCACAAGAATATCCAAAACATCTGGACAGCATGATTGCCAATGGATGCTCCTTTCTCATTGTTTGGTCTGAATCGGCAGGCATGAACGATCGCATGAACAGGCGCATGGATGCTTGCATCGACGTTTTATGTGTCGTGTTTACGCGCACGCCCAAAGCATCCTCTTGCCGGCTTTTCGGAAGGGAATTTCTGTCTTCCGTTGCTGGCGGCCTGGCCCCGCGTGGGGCTAGGAACCCGCATATATGCGCTGGCCCGCATATATACACGTGCTCTGGAGAGGCTGCAATCCTTCAAAGTTGCCATCGATGAAACAGAGCGGTGCCCTTGCACCTTGCAGGCGACGGCCGGCAAGCACGCGTCCAAAAACTGGAGGGGCGCTGTCAAGGCCGACAAGAGACCAGCCATGTTGCCCTGAACAACAACCGCTCTGCAATGCGGCCCGGGGCATGCACGTACCCACGAACTGGAGAGGTGCTGTCAGGGCCGGCCCCGAACGGCAACCGCTGTTCAACAGCGCCCGGACGGGCCCGGGTGCTCTGCACAACTCGCAAGCGCGCGCATTTTGGAAAGAATCTTACAGTGCAGAGAGCTGGAGGCGACGCATCGCCCACCAGCCACAGGACACCACCATCCCTCACAGTCATGCCCATGGGCGGTCCTGCCGAGGCAGTGCCGCCAGCGCGCCTGCCCTCGTTCGCATCCCCCCAGGCAAGTCGGAGCAACGAGCCCATCCAAGCTGTCCCAATCTCGACGTCCTGCCCCACCCAGCCATTCGCGACAATTCCCTAATCCCCGATCCTCACGCCACAGGGCGCACGCGAGACGTTCCGGGGGAACCGAATTGAATTGAATTGCTTGCTTGCGATGAGTGCAGTGACACGCTACCTACAGTGCCGGCGTTTCTGCCCCGTCAGCGGGCAGAATGTGTTCGAAGTGCATTCTCGGGGCCCACCCCTCCCCACCTGATCCGCGACTCGCAATACAACAGGGAGCTGACTTCAAGTTCCCCACCTCCGTACAGGAAGACACAGAACCCAGGGAGGTGCACAGATCACCCCCCTCTTCCCAAAAAAGACCCGCCAAGGCAAGGTATGGTTAACTACACGGAGCGCACCAGACGTTCCAAGTCAGCAAGCTATAACCCACTCGCCGTCTGGCGTAGACAACCCCGCCTATCCCAATAGACGTCACTTATTGTTGATGCGTCCGTGGTCATTCGCCGACTGCCCTTCACACCCGGGATTGTCGTCATGCCCAGGGCTAGCTATTGTGCCCCCACCCAAGGGGCTGCAACCCGCCGGGCGGTTGCGGCCCTGCCTTCCCCAAAACAGCAGACTTTATTTCACACACCTCCGTGAACAACGTCCAGTATGGCAACAGGTCAGCAACACACACAACACATTTCCCATGCTCCTTTATTGGTAAATGTACAAGCGGCGGATTCGGAAAGATTACCGTGCCCAGTGGCGTGTCTCCTGGGACCGCTCCAGTCGTCATTTCCCCATCCACCAACGATCACACTGCCCGCATCAAATGCCTATCAAATTTTGCAGACGCCAAAACGAGGACGCCGCCAGCCAATCGTTGTCTGCTCCGCAGAGAATCGTTTGCACCCAAGCCCGCAGGGCACCCTCAAAGGAGAGCAAAAGCTAAACTACTACTTCTGGGCTTGGAACTTGCACAGCGTCGCTGCCGAGCGCAGGGCACTCCACTGGGGGCGTTGCTTGATGGCTATCTTCGTGGCTATCTTGATGGCCCTCGTTCTGTGCGGCTGCACACGTGCCGTCTTCCGGATACTGATCTCCGAAAAGAGGCATCGGACTTGACTTGTAAACTATGGATTCTCTGGTCCACCTTATCACCCTGTCTCGCGCCTCCAACTGGATCGCAACACAAATGAGTGGCGTCAAGGACAAAGGACACGGGAAACAGACCAGAGGAATAAAGCAACAGTGAATGGGCTCGCACACGTTGTACCCTTGCAAGGCGCCACTGTTACCCAGGGGGGGCAGCCATCACGAAAGAGGGCAGTGGTCGCCGCACGACGGCCTTGAGCACTTCTTGTGTCTAATTGAATAAAAACCTAAACATAAAACATAAAACGCAAAACGCAAACATAAAATATAACACAGAACATAGCACGCAAACCCGTGAACACACACCTCCTTGGCCATCTTGTCCTCCCTCTTCCTGCGCAGCGCCTCCATCTTCTCCTGCTTCTTCGGGTCGATCACCTCCTTCCAGTGGTGCGCGCGTGCGGCGGACGCCAGCTTGGGCGAGTGGGCCACAGTCCTCTTCATGTACTGGGGCACTGACACCCTCGTGGGGGTCGACACCCTGGTGATCTTCTCCTCCCTGATCACCTTGTTGCCCTGCTTCCTCTCGTACGTCTCCACCACGGTCCGGGTGACCTGCGAGTGGCTCCGCTCCACCGTGGAGGTGCGGGTCGTGGATGTTGCCTTCACATGGCCCTGGCGCTTCTTTGCCGCCTCCGCATCCTTGACCTGAGCGCACGGCAGGGGACAGGGGCGAGTCAGGGCAGTGACAATAGGCTAGGTCGGCAGCTTGCCGGATGTCATATCGCCGCTTGCTGCCCCACTTTGCAAGACAGGATTCATATCAATGAAACAGCCACAATATTCGACGACTTGTGCCTCCGGCATCTGGACAACTGGTGTCCCAAAAATCTAATTTTGTGCAAGTTCACTCAATCCTGGGACAAAAAGCAACGTGCAATCCACGCCCAGAGCCGCGGCAACGAAGTCAAGTGGACAGGGCGATTCCAGCAGGAGACAAAACAGCCTGGTGTCCACTTTGTGATGCATCGCTTCAGCCACGGGCACAAACAGTGCCAAGACACTGCTTGAAACTGCAGCAACAAGCCACGCACCTGGCGGTAGTATATTTCCTCTGTTGTAGTCCCAAGTGCCTTCGGTGCCAACTTTGCTGGCTTCGCTGGTTGTGTGGGGCGCCGGCTGATCTTGGGGGGAGCGGGTGGCTGCCAGCCAGAAGAGGAAGTCGACACTCGAGGGCGCTGGGCAGCCCTACGTCGCTCCTGCACTTCCCTTTGGTCCTCAATTTTCTGATGGACGACGCAAACGCGATCAAACTCACACTGGCGACTCCAAGCTTGCCAAATGGAGCTTTGCACCACAACGATGGACTGGCTGATCGTGAACATCGCAACAGTGTGGAAAACGATGCAGCGGTGATGGCACATGTCTACTGTGCTCGGATTAGACAGCAAAAGTTTACCACATTGGGGCCTCAAAGTGCTTGATAACCTCAATCCCACAACAGATGACAACATGAATAACACACGCCTGCCCTAGCAATGGATACGACTGTTGAAGTACCAACTGTTAAATACCGACCACCTCCCTTCCACACAATAGGTTTGACAACTGCATGCAGCAAACAGATGACGATACAACAGCAGAAGCACAAATTCACCTTGGGGCGGACTGTTGGCGGCCTGAAGGCTGGCGAGGGCTGTGCAGCAGCAGCAGCAGCAACCTTCCTTACCCGACCCGCAGCAGTCTGCAGCTGCGACAGGGTCGATGTCCGGGACTTTGGCCGTGCTGCAGGAGGCAAGGGCGACTTGCTGGATATCTGAGCACACCGCGGCACAGACCGCGAGAACTCTGGCGCAGGGGGCGTGCTCCTGGTGCTCTTGGCAGGCTTTGGCTCTGTGCGAGTCGAGGGCCTCCTGGCCAGTGTTGCAACAGATGGCGACGTGTCCCGCCTCAGCAGGCCCCGCACAGATGCTGGCTCCCTCGCCGAGGACGCCTTGGTGGGTTTGGTTGAGCGCGGCCTGACTTCAGGTGACTGCACCCCTGGTGTGCTCTGCCTCTTCAATGCCTGAGCAACCGGGGAGGGCAGCTGCCTAACATTGGCAGTGTCATCCATCCCATCCCCTGCCTGCCCACTGCTGGCACCTTCTGTGACGTCCTTGGGGATGCTTGCAAGATGCGGTATCTTGGATGATTTTGGTATCAGGCTCTCCCTCCGAGGCATGCTGGCCGCAGGCCTGGTCGCAGGCGTTCGCACGGGTGTGGCACGGGACACCGCACCGCCAGCAGAACGGGTCCCAGTGGCTCGTGCCGCTGCTGTCCTCGACACCCCAGGGGCAGCCGCCTTTGTAGCAGCATGCAAGCTTGTCCTTGCTGGCACGGATTTAGGTGCAGATGCTGTAGGTGCATGTGCTCTTGTCCTTGCGGGCACGGACTTAGGCACAGATGGGACAGGTACACTGGTCTTGGCGGCCCTTGAAACAGTGCGTGCTGGCACAGAGTGTGTGGAGGCAGTGCGAGCTGATGTGGTGCGCATTGACACAGAGCCAGAGTGTGGCACCGCAGGACGCACGGAGGCTGCGCTGTGCACGGATGCCCGAGTGTGCCTTGTGGGCTCCACATCCAATGCGGCAAGTCTTCGCCTCGACCCTGGAATGTCGTCATCGCAAGGGTTGAACAGGCCAGGTTTCCGCACAGGCCGAGAGTCAAACGCTGGTCTGGAAGGTGCTCTGGCAGTCCTGCCCCCACGAATGCTGTTGGTGGCTCGCCGTGCCGAATAATCTCTGCTGGGCACTTCTGGAGACTTCCGCTCATCCCACATTCCGGGCAGCATTCTCCTCCCGACGCCTCGTCGAACTTGTGGTGCCGACGTCCTGGCATCCAGTTTCTCAAGCACAGCTGCAGTCTGCTCCTTCAGCCATTCCTCATCTTCTGAGCTTGCAGCTCCATCTGAGGCCCTTGCTGCAGTGCTCCCAGAATCGCATTCTTTGGCAGAAGGCTTCTCCACAGATTCAGAGCTCGCAGTGTGAGGCTCAACCTGGCTGTCTCGCTTGGAGGCAGCTGTGCCGTCTCCCTGCCCACTCTCAGCAGAATTTGCAGCTTCCTTTGATGGCTGACGCAGCCCCACACTGCACCCCTGAGCAGCGCTGGCAACATCTGTTGCGGTGACAGACTCTGAAACCTTGGTCTCTGCCACAGAACTGCCCGTGGCCAATTTAGCAGGGATGCTGGCCATGACGGCTGTGGCGCCCTCAGGGTTCGGAACAGCAGTCTTGTGAGCATCGCAGCTCGAGACAGGTTCCCTAAGTTCCATCTCTCCCTTAGGTGCTGCTTCACAAGGTGCGGCACTTGCGGATGTCACACAACTTTCTGCAGGCTGGGATGTTGCCACAGAATGGTCTGGCAGGGCAGTGGCCTCCTTATCAGAGACCACAGGCTCGCCCACAGTGGCACAGCCAGCTTCTGAACCTCCGTCTTGCGCCTCAGATGGTGCAGGTTCCACCATGACTACCTCATCTGCCACTGGATGAGAAGCAACTGGCTTTGCAGGAGGTTTCGCTTCCTCCACCGCAGTGCTCTCCCCTTGTGCTGGTGAAGGTGCAATAGAGTCTTCAAGCTGTGAAGGGCCTGTTTCCTCTGTCCCTTCACAGGCACTGCTTGGCGGGTTCACCTGAGCACTCTGCAGCTTCCTAGCAGAATCTGCGCATTCCACACTTGCGCGCACGAGATCCTGTCCATCGGTGCCTGCTGCAGCCCCTGCCGTACCAACTTGAAGCTCAGCAGAGACACCAGTGTGCCCTTCAATGCTTGGAGGTGCGACACACTCCTGTGCATGTGCAGCTGAAGTCTTGCTCGCTGCCGCGTCAGTCTCTGCAAGTGTGCGTGGGACATCAACACTGACACAAGTCTCTGCCCTCGCTGGCCTGTAGTCCTTGCCTTGTAGTCCAGGGCTTCCCGCTGCAGGGGAAGATTCACCGCTCTTTGGAGTCACTCTGTCCTTCTGTGGAATCTCCACCAACATCGAAGATTCCTCCAAACTGCTCTGCGATTTTCTGTCAGCACCGCTCCCTTGGCTTGGGCTTTCCTTCTGCGCAGTGGCGTTGGCTCCAATCGTTGCTGCTGGGACAACGACTTCGGCTGTCACCACTTCTGCAGGACTGGGGACGGCGTTCTCGAGGGTCTGCTCCACCATTGATGTGGCAAGCTCCTCCTTGACCGTGCCTTCAGCCTTGAGCTCACGAGCTTGCAATTCCTTTGCACTGTCACAAGTTGTGGGGATGACGATCTTCTCCTGGACGACCGCCACAGTTGGCACCTCTGCCTTCTTTCCCATCTTCTCTCTGGCTTCCTTCAAACCCTTGGTCACCTCCACAGCCTTTTGTGCACTGCTCTTTTCGCCCCGCACTGCAGTTGCAGGTTTCCTTTCGGCATTGCTTGGAGCCTCAGCCTTGTGAGAGGCTGGCGTCTTCCCAGCACTGCTGCGTTTCGAAGCGCTGCCTTCCTTTGCCACTCCAGTAGCCACCAAGGGCTCACCACGTCCACCCTCAGCATGTGCACCTGGAGATTCCTTACCCACCTGTTCTTTAGCTGGTGCCGGGTCTCTTGGATTGGCGTCTTTAACCTGTGATGCTCTTGCAGGAACGGCAGCTGATTGCTTCTTCTGCGCTGCACTTCCGGCTGTAGTAGCTTCCGCAGCCACTTCCTTCACCACTTTGGGGCTTCTTGGAATGGAACTTTCCTTCCATGCCGCTCGCTCCTTTCTTGGTGTACAGCTCACCACCTCCTTTGGCACTTTGGCCCCTGTTGTCAGGGCCGCGTCGCCCACAGCAGGCACCTTGCCCTTGACAGCCTCTACCGCCTGTGCCACGTTAGCCCTCTTCGTGCTGACAGCTTCTTTGATGGAGCTGTCTGCAGAGGCCATGGCCTGTCCCTTTCTCTCATCCCCACCTTCAGCTCCAGCCTTCTGGACTTTCGCTACCTTGGGCGCCCCAGCGGCCCTGGGCACAACTTTGTTCTTGCTGGCAACTGTTGTGGTAGCCAGTTCCTTGCACTCAGCGCCACCAGACACTGCATTCCCTTGGGTCTTTGCAGGCGCAGGAGTCTCAGCGACCTTGGGATTAGTGCTCGCCTCGTCTGAAACTGCAGGCTCAGTTCTGGCTTCGGTCCGATTTGGAACCGCAACCTCTTGGCTCACTGCCAACGCAGGCTGCTCGGCCTCCTGGGAAGTCGCAGCAGTGCCACCTTCGCTGCTCGACACTGAAGGCTCTTGGGATTCTGGCGCCTGTCTTCCTTCCGAAAGCTTGGGAATGGAACTCTTGTTTGCAGAAGCTGCAGACGAACTGCCCACCACCTCCTTGTCAGGCAGGACAGCAGCCACAGGCTTCTGGACGTTCACCACTCCTGACGAAGCATCGACCTTGGGAGTGGGCCTCCCTTTGGGTGCAACCACAGCCCCACACTTCTTCTCGACCTGCCCAGCACCAGACAGCTTCTGGGCCTTAGGCATTCTGGGCGATTCAGCGACTTTGGGAATCGCACTGGCACCTTCCCGAGGCATAGACTTCATCACCCTTGGCGATTTAGGAATGATGCTCTCCCCCTTTGCAATTGCTGCAGTGGCCACAACGGCAGGCACTTTTTCAGCCTGACATGCGGCCACAGGCTTTCTGGGCATCACCACTTTGGGCGATTTGGGGATGATGCTTCCCTTGCCTGGTACTGCTGAAACAGATCCAGCTGCCACCTCCCCGCCCGTCTCATTTGCCGCAGCAGGCTTTTCAGCCTTTGCAACCTTCGGAGCTTTCAAAACTTCCGATATACCATTCTCTTTGCTTGCAGCTGCAGCCTCATTTTTCACTGCCTGGCCTGCAGACACAGACTTCCTGGCCACTGCTATTTTAGGCGATTTCACTGCTTTAGAAACTGCGCTGGTGCCCTCAGGTGTACCTGCAGCTGAGAGGACGTCCTTGGCCTTCATCACCTCGTGCGTTTCTGCAGCCTTCAGAGCAACACCGTCCTTGCTTGCAGCAGCTGTGGCAGACACACGATCAGCGCTTCTTTCAGTGCGACCTTCAGAGGCAGGTTCTTGGTATGCCAGAGTCGTAGGTGCCTTTGGCAGCTTGGGAATAACACTCTCCTTGCTCATTGATGCCCCCGGCGCCACAGGCTTCATCGGTTTTGCTTGTTTTGGTGGCTCGCTCTCATCTGTTGCACCCCCGACTGCATGCTGAGTCGTCTGCACGGGCGCCTCAGCACCCTTGCAAACAAGAGCTTCCTTGTTCGCAACAACTGGAGCCGCCACAGCCTCAGCCTCCTTTTTGACCCCATCAGCAAATGCATCTCTTTCCGCCGTCGCAGTCTTGGGTGTGCTGGAAGCCTTAGGGATGCCAGTGCTGCCCGCAGCTCCCGCAGTGGCAGCAGGCCTGGTCTTCTTCTCAGATGCTTTTACTGAGGACTCCATTTGGGTCTTTGATCCTTTAGGTGCCTTTGGCGTCTTCGGAATGACACTCCCCTTGGGGGAGAGCGCTGCAGCAACTGGAGCGTGCACCTCTGCTTTGGCCGTGGCTGCCCCAGTGTCTTCAGCGTCTGCTGTCGACTCTGGTCGCCTGCCCACTCCTGCTAGTTTGGGAATTGAACTCTGCTTCTGGACAGGCTTGACAGCCGTGACGGCCTGTGCCTCCACTGCATCTGCACTGCTCACTGCAACTGGGTGTGATGTCAGTTCCTTGGTCGGTTCTGGTGTCTTAGGAATAACAGTGTCCTTTGGTGTCGGCCCAACAGATGCCACACTGCGATCTTTCGTTTTGGCCACTTCAACAGTATCTCCTTTGGCCTTGACTGGCCCTGGGCTTCTGGGAATCACACTCCCCTTCAAGGCAGATCCTGCAGCTGCCGGCTCAGGTTCCTTTGGCTTGGCCACACCACTCCCTTTGGACCGTGGCGCCTTGAGTTTAGGCATCTTTGGAAGGGCACTCTCCTTGTTCACAGCCGCCAGTTTGGCTGCAGCTTTCACTTCAGGCTTCTTTCGAGAGGACTTGGCCTTCTGTGTCGTTCCTGCAGCTGCATCCTTGGGTGCAGCAATTGCCCTGGACGCATCTGGGGAGATGCCTGCCTTGCTTTTGCCCCCTGCAGGTGCCGCTATCCTGCTCTGTTTCGCAGGCTGACTTGCAACAGGCCCTTCCTTGCCATCGGTGGCCTTTGAGGCTGTGCTGGCCATTGCCAGCAGGCTTCTCTCCTCCGCCACTGCACCTGCAATGCTCTCCTCCCCACTCACACTCTGCTGCGCAGCTGCCTCTGATGTGCGATCGATTGCCACCGATGTCCTTGCTTCCGCCCTGACAGCAGTCTTTTTGGCTCCACTCCCACCGGGCTGCACAGGCTGCAGTGCGATCTTTGCACACACCACAGCTGGCTGGTGGGCATCGCCATAAGGCATCTCATTGGGTCCTCCTTCAGAAGCTGCATTCGTCTTCTCCGACACTGATTCGTCTGCACTATCTGCATTCCTGGGCACCTTGGCGCTGTCCAGCATCTGCACACCACCCTGGGACTCACAACCTGCTGTATCCACTTTCTCCGGCATCGTGTCCACAGCTTTCCTTCCTTTCATCACCAAAGACATCTTGCCCTTCCCCAGCTTCCGCTGCTTCACCTTAACTGTCCCTTGGCCCATTCCCACCCGCGATGTGTGCTCTCCACCAGTTGGGCACTGCTGCTCTCCGGCAGGATGCTCTCCCCTTTCCTGCTTCGCCACAGTCCCCGTAGACACTGCCGCAGAGCTCTTGTCCCTAACAGCATGTGCCCCATCGCTTGCTGGTCCACAGTCGCCACCTGCCTCACTAAGGCCCGGCTGGCTGGACCTTTGCGGAGCATTAACGGGTGAAACGCCATCTCCACACTCTGGAGCTTGGCTGCCAATGCTCTCCCCTCTCTGCTCGGAGTCTTCAGTGTGGCTCGATGCTTGCTGCTCGTCAGGTTTCGAAACACTTCGGCGGGAGTGGCGAATCGACATGGGCTTCGGTGCGACGACAGGGCCCGCCGGAGGGTCTTCAAACCACTGAAGGAGAGCCTTCTTCTCCTCTTCGGTTGCAGCATCTCTGGCAACCTCTGGCACCGCAACAGTGGTGGTCGCCCCACCAGCCTGGGAGTCTGCACATCTTTGATTTGCAGATGCGGATTCATCCATTTCTCCAGATGGTTCCGGATAATCTTCTCTCCTACTGGTTGATGAATTGTCAGCTGGCAAACCTGTTCCTTCCTTGCGTTTCGAAGGCAGTTTGCCCAATTTCGACACAGTATTCTTACAACTGCTGACGCCAGCGCCAGGCTGGCCATTATCCTGTGGACACTCCGCCCTGTCCCGCTCGTCCCGTCCCCGCACCGAGGGCCCACACTTCACATCGTCCACGTCGGGCGTTGTCGGGCCCCTGGGTATGAAACTTGCAGGGCAAGATACCTCATAGCCTTCAAACGAACCCCTTATCCCAGACAGCCGTTCCTTCGTTAGCCCGTCCTCGACGGATCCATCCTTCTTCACAGAAGCTGACATTTTCTCTGGCGCCCTGATCTTGGACTTCTCATGTGTCCTAATACTGGGCTTCTCAGGTATTCTGGCCTCGGACACAGCAGGCTTCATGCTGCCGATGGACGATGCCTTGATGCGGTCCCGCTGCTGGGGTGCACTGTCCTCCACGGCAGGCGGGGCAGGCATCAACGACTTCTTGGGAAGCTTGGCGTTCACGACAGCTTGGGCAGCAGCTGGGGAGCCTCCAGACTGTGGGGAAAAGATATCCTCCACTGCAGGCCTGCCTGCAAGGACAGCACACAGAGAGAAGTCATTTCAGAGCCCCAGTTTGCTTTGTCATGCATTTGCCAATTCAGTGCTCTCAATGAATGGAACATGTGACCATGTTGCAGCCAGGGTGTGAAGTCAGCTGATAGATAAAAGGGCACTGGCGTGTTGCACATGAACAATGGCAGTAGATAAAGCACTGAGCAGAGGGAAAAGCAGTCCTGACTTGAAAAACATGCACCGAACGGAGGGGGTACCCAGGATCTGAAACTGTCTTCTCAAAAAGAACTAAACAACAGAGCAATTTCAAAGTGCACACACTCTTTTTGCCTCAAGGCTTCACCTGTTCGAATCGTCAGCCCCTCCCCTGGCTTCCTTGGCCCAGGCAGTCGACTTGCCTGGCCCACACGCCTCACAGCCAAAGCATCCTTCCCAAGGCCGGGACTGCACTCCTCGCCGCAGTCACCAACCCCCGCTCTGTCACTCCCTTGCCCAGGCCTGGCAGGGATGGCGGAGGTTGGCCGGCTCGGCACCCCTCCCAGGGCTGTGTCCCCAAGCAAGCTGCGCACAGGCATACTGGCTGACCTGTTCCACGCAAACAAACACAGACTTGGGAACACAGCCGAAGCGATCTGGGCTTGCTGAAGGTATTTCCTCCTTCCCTTTCAGCTGGCTCAGCTTCTGTGCCAACATTTGCCAGGCTGAGACAAAGCCAGCCTTCGCCCTTGCAAGCAATGGCACAGATGACCGTGCAGACACTGCTGGACTCCAAAATGTCCTTGGCATGATGTAGAACTTTGGAGTTTTACGAGCGCGATGACATGTGTACACGTCCAAGCAGTTGTGCGCATCTCATCGACACATTTCTCGCCTCGCCACCAACACAACGGCGCTCTCCCGGCCTGGCTGACGGCTCATTCTCTGGGCACACATCGGGCGCGACGCGAACAGGCCTGCACCCTTACCCGCATCAACCCCGCCGCTCACAATGGGATCCAATTACCGAACTGCAGGGCGTCGGAGTCGTGAAAATAATGGCAATGCATGGTCAGCAACGGATCGGCACTCCCAACTGAACGCGCCGGCGCCAGGCAGTCAAAGACGAGGACTGACTCGAGAACGGCACTGCCTGCGCATGCGCGTCGGTCCCTGTGCCCGTCGGCCCTGGGCAACTCGCGAAGTCCGGGCGCGAGGTCCAAGACAAAAAGGGCCTAAGGGCCCGGCACAAAACAGGGGTGGCCACAGCGCCGGCAACAAGAGGCTCGCCCAGCGCGGCCGGGCCCCGCGAGTTAGCCCGGTGGAGGCAGAGCCTCCGCGCAAAGACCGCGAGCTCGAAAGCCGGAAAACTTGATGAAACGTCGACCAGAACGCGTCGACCAGAACGCGTCGACCAGAAAGCTGCAAAGCCCGAAAACTCGAACTGGCCATAAAACCCGAGTCCAAACACATCCAACCGACACGGTGCGCAGCGACCCATGCCCGCGCGCCGCGGCGTCGTTTGGCCACTCGCACCGCGCGCCTCGTCCGGCCCACGGCGTCGCGCATCGCTCGCGCCCCAGGCTGTCGCGCAGGCCCTGACACTGATTCTGCCTCCCACCCTTCACATGCCCATCACTGCCCACATCAAACCGCCCATCGACAATGATATTTACTGCGCCGCCGTGGCCGCTATTTTTTACTTGCTCAGGAGGGGGCTGCTCCACAGCGCGACCTGTGTCGCTGGGATTCTAACACGTCTTGAACCACCCACACTCGCCTCTGTGTGACTGTGGATTCCCGGGATTGCCACACATCTAGACACACACTCGCCTGTCGGCACCCTCCGAGCAGTCGAGGCCTCCCGGTGCACTTCCCTCGGCTTCCGCCACCCGGCGTTGGCCCTCTTTCAGTCCTCCGCCTGCGCGCCCAGACAGGCGCTCCTTGGCCAGGCGGACCCTGTCCGACTGCCGACGCCCGGCGCCCCCGATCGAACCCTCCCTCCGCCCCTTGGACGCCTCCGCAGTCGGCCGCCCCTTGGCGTGATTCGACTGACCCACGCCCGGCTGGTTGACCGCGCAGGGCGCAGACGGGTCAGTCGCTTCTCTGGCGCTCCCGTGGTCCAGCTGGGCGGCCTCTAGCTCGCTCACCACACAGGAATCCGTACTCCCGCTCGGTAAGAACTCCTCCTTGGCCAAATCGGCGGGGTCCAAAGCGAGGGGCCGGTAGCCCTCCCGCTCACACCTCTCTGCGCCCACCCGAGCCGATTGTTCGCCGATCTGGCCGACCTTGGCACCGGCCTTGGTCCCGCGCACCAACCGCGCAGCGCCGCCCTCCTCCTCCCCGCAAGAATCACACGAGTCGGTGCTGACGGTCAACAGGGACTCATTCACATCGTCCGTGCTCAGCTTGCCCACGCTGCGCGCGTCGACGCCGTCTACGCTCAGCCGGCCCACGCTGAACGCGCCGCAGCTGAGCGTGGGGCTGACCGCGGGCAGATTCTCGCCGGGCCCCTTCGCGGCCTCCTCGTATGGCAACCCACCGCCTGGTCCAGCGACAACACCCGCGCCAGTCAGCGCGATCAACGGGCCCAACAACCCGCCCCGCTGTCTGCGGCGAGAACGGCGAGACTGAAAACGCCAACATCCGACATATCTTTCTGACAGGTGCACGGGCCGCACCCCGGCCGGGACCCGCCAGGGAGCCACCGAGGCCGAAACAACTGAACCGGGGCGCGCAATTCGCGCGTCGGCGCTCACCGTGGCCGTCGAACCGCACGCCCTCCTCCACACACAGCTCCTTACAGGCCTCCACCAGCGCTGCCGCCTCGCGCGTCGTCAGGAACAGCTTGGCGCTGGCCTCCCTCAGCGGCACCGCCGCCTGCGCCAGCGACAGCGCCGACACGTCCTCCGCCTCGCACACGTCCGCGATGTCCTCCAGCAGCCCGCTCTCTAGCCCGCTGTTGCTCAAACATCGGAGCAGGAAGGGCCTCGACCGCACCCTCTGCAGCCCTCCTCCGGCGCAATCCATGCAATCATCCACCCCGACAAACCGACGACGCGCCCAATGCCCCCCGCCAAGCGCTGCCTCCCCACCCCCGCGCACCTGGCTTGTCCCCGCACCTCCAAACTCGGCGCGCCTCCCCCGAGAGATAGCTACCCTAGCCGGGGCCGGAAAGTTGCGGATAACGCGGCCGCCCCGTCAAGCCGCCCGGGACGGACGGCCGATGCCAAGGAGCCCCTTTCCTCGGCAGGCTGATTGGGTTGCCTCGGAAAGGGGGCCCCGTAGTGGCAACAACGCGCCCCGGCGCTATGTACGGGCCCACGGGCGCCCAGCGGCGCCAGATTGGAGTCTGAGGGCCGGGTTCACGTAATACGAGGTGCCCCGTGTGAGGGTGAGTAAGGCCCGTCGGCACGCCGTAGTGCTGGAGATCAGCGGGATGCGGCGTACGCGCGGTGGGTGTGCCCGACTGCCATTCGCCCTCTGATGTGGGCGCTTTGTTTTGGGGATGTTGACGGCCGCTTGGTCATGCATCTCTGGAATGCCCTCACAGCGTTCTGTGGCCGCCGGTCTGGGACAATGCATTGGGTTCTGTCGAAGGGTGGCCTCTTGGAGCTGCTTTGGGCCAAGGCGTTTCCTGAATTTAGAATTGGCAAGTCCAGAAAACTGCAAGCAAACTCCAGCCCAAGCCCGCGTTGCCGACTGCTGAGATCGTTCACGCGGCTGGGTCTTTCTGTCAGAACTCCAAATGCGCAAATCTGAAAACCGTTGCGAAGGAAAGTGGATTGACAGAGGGCGATCAAAGTTCTGCAAAGCTACGGGAGCGAGCCACCGCCTTCCCACCACTGGCCTTGAAGGCGAGTGGGCTGCAGACTTTCGAGCGGCGGAGACGCAGGAACCACTGCGCGATGCGCCCAAAAACGACCTGTACCGTGGGCTTTAAGCCCTTCCACATGGTAACGTCATGCTTGAAAGCATAATAGAAATAACGCTCTGAAAAGCGAAATGCGAAGTGAAAAGCGTAATTTTTGCAAAAATTTTCCGATGCGGAAGGGGAAAGAAAACCTACGGTACGACCACCCACGCCACGGCACCATCCGCGCGGCTTACGAATGCTTGCTGGTGCTGCCTCAACGTTACGCGTCCCGGCCCTCGTGCGCAAACTACTGGCTGAGGGTTTCTGGGCCCGCGGGCGCCACAAGACTTCTGGGCCCCCCAACACCGATCTCCAGGGTTGGGAGTCTCAACCACTTGACCGCAGAACCGCCACTGCGCCGGTCCGGTCGCTTCCCACTCCCCATGTCGAGCCACGGTGCCCCGCAGCGGCTTTGGCGCGGCACCGCCCCACCCCCTCAGCCCACGGCGCCCATCCCGCGCTGTTCCAATTCCCAGGATCCGCGCAGAGGCGCGCGATGCCGATCAGCGGGTGGCGGGGGGCTGGATCGCATCGTGGGGAAGGCGGCGGCTGCGGCTGAGGGGGCGCCCGCGGCTGTTCGGGCGCCCGAGGGGTTGGCGCGGAGGCTGGCGTTCTCCTTCTCGCCATCCGGACTGCTCTTCCCGTACTACATAGGTAGTGCACGGCGCCGACGCAGTGGTGGCCAAATTTCTTTCTTCATGGAGTGCGGTTGTTGGAGTGGTTGTGACGGGAAGAGCCCCTGTGGCCTGCAAGCGACGACGGGCTCGGAAACTTCGAGCGCTGCGTGTTCACCGTCCCGTGCTGCATTGATCGGGGCCGACGCCGGCGAATGGGTCGTCGAATTGGATGGATGGTGTTCTCTATTTTTTGATTCCAAAGTACTGCGTCGCGTTTCGGTGTCCATGTGCCTCCGCCGTCATATCACAAGATATGTGGGCCTTGCGCCGCCTAACAAGATAGCGCAGGTGATGGATTGTAGCCGCGGGGATGGCCGTGACCGGTAGACGCGACTGCGCCCCGCAAGCGATGAGGGGAGAGGAAATTCCCTTCGGCGATATTCTTTTCAGTGTAACGAGATCATCATACCGATCGAATGGCCATTCCCACGCCTCTGTTGGGTTTTTCGCGGTTCGGTCGGTATGTTCCGATCCCTCGATGGCTTCGGTGGCCAGCTGATTGGGGCGGGCAGTGGCGGTGATCTCTCTGTTCCTTTCGCTGCTGCCCAGTTTACGGTTCTGAAGAATAAGGAGATTTCCTACATATGGTGTCGCAACAAAGATGTGCACAAGTCACCATCCATTCTATGCCCGTGATACGTGACCCATAAAAATGGATCATGGCCACGTCCTTCACGGTTCTGAGTGGGTTGCTGAACGCAAATTTTGTGCACCGCTGGTGGATGGTGCATGGTGCCATGTGGACGTTCCGGGGTGGATACGGATGCGTGGTTGTGCCAGCATGGGTGTGGCTCCGTGGCCCTGTGTTTTCTGATGCTGATCTTGCCTTTGCACAGATTTTAGGCTGTGTCTAGTTATGTACTGCAATGCCATTTTGGCTCAGTGACCAACGAGGTAGTTGCAGGAAATGAGGTTGAACGATGTTTGCCTATAGAGGCAAGCACAGCCTGTCGAATGAAATGTTGTAAAACATCACCTCATTGTGCGAGGAAGGGGTGCCGTGGCTGTTCATAGCAACGATTCATTGTCACAGAAGAAGAAAGAATGTCAAACACTGGCACCCTACTCCTGAGTGAAAGATGTTGAAAATCTGTCCAATAGTGTGGAGTTTGACATGGAAAGCACCAGAAGCACTACTATATCACTTGACAGTGTGTGGCATGCATATCAAAAAGGAATGCACTCAGAAGGAATAATGCATGAGGATGTTGAAGGCATTGAGGAGTTTGTTGCTTTTGACAGCAAGAGGACTTATGATGGGTATACTGTGACGAAAATGTGCTCCTTTTACACAAAGCTTTAGTACATTTAAGGTGCTGATTACGTGCCATGCCCTTTGTTGAAATTGTTGTTTCGCACAGGCGTGTTGCAGGCGTTGAGGGAGACTGACCTTGTCACATCAGACACGCCAGTGTCTGGATCGTCTGGCGGGTGCCTCCTGGCAGTTTTCAACGCCTGTGGCATTGCTGTTGAAGACATTCGAAAGACAAACAGGCTGATCAACACAAGGCTGTTGGCAAGGCCAGGGGACAAGATTCTGGGCGAGGTGGTGAAAGACGCGATGCTGGTATGCACATGACGATGTCCTGAATCGCTGTGCCGGATTTGACAATTAAAACCTGAGATAGGAGACAAATATTGATTTAACAGATTCTGTTGATGTCGTCGACTTCATTGGACTCTTGACCTCAGGAGGTCTGAACTGGGGAGCAGTGCATTCCACAAAGGCGAGGATTGTTCAGGCTTCCCTAAAGTGGGCTCTGCATTAAGGCATTCTCGGATCTTTGCTTCTCTGCTTGTGTCCATGTTTGAAATTGATTTGGTGTTTTGTGGGTGACAGTTCCTGTAGAATATAGGCCACACAAAAATATGTCCAGGCCATCATATTGCTACCATCTTCACCAGTCGCCTGGTGATGTTAAGTTCCCTTTTCTTTTCTGCTGGTTGGCAGACCAAGAATGCATTCCTGAAACTGCTGCATGTATTGGCAACCAGTTGTTTTGCATTGTCTTTCAACAATAGTGTGCTGGGACGTGTCCATATTGGGGCAAGGCAATGGTCATGGGAATATCTGTTGAGCTCTGCAAAAAAGCGCACTAAAACATGTGGTGTTTAGTGACCCAACAATGGATGTCCCCTCTCGCAGACTGATACAGAGGCTCAAAGCCTCGATCCTCATCGCAGAGATCGCATTCCTTGCTTCCCTTGAGTTGGCTGCCCAGCGATTAAGTCTTAAACAGTGCAATCAAGGACATGGGGACTGTAGATAATATAAGGACGTAAAGGGGAAACATGCCCAATTTCGTGCAGACGTTGACAGAATTGCGAGGCTCTGTTTAGCAGCACAGCAACATCTCTGCGATCTAGACAGGAACAACATGCCATTGAACTTGCCTGCTGCTAAGTTTTCACATGTGGCCCGCGCAGGGCAGCGCTAATGCACTCTTGTCAAGCTGCACCACAACGCTGTAACGTGGATGCCGCAAAAGCATTGTTGCCCCGAATTGCAGTACAATCTGTCGTGTCTGCATGTCACCAATCTTCTTCCCATTTACTGGCCCTGGCAGGATCTCTTGCCCAACGACGTGCACACGACTGTATCGAATCGCATTGCGATTGCGATAACCAGGCTGGCCCCTTTTCCCTGGCCTCTGGTTGTGGAAGACTTTCTGTCCAAGGAAGACTTGGTTGACGTGATGGTTGCGAGCACGTACATGCCGGGCATGGCTGGCACAAATCTGGGCGTTGCCACAAGGCACGGATTGGCGGGCGACGGTATGCTTGCCAGGTTCTATCCTGAGGTTCCAGAAGCCTACAGGGATCGCGTCAAAACCACAATCAAGGCAAGCAGAGTGGGCTTTTGTGTGGCGTGGCTGGTGCTGATTCCATTACCTGGGCTGCGGAAACTTGTCTATTTCACCCAGTTTCGAACCCTGTTCAAGTTGGCTTAATATGGGACCAACAGGCGTTCTTAGCCGTGCTCTTATGCATACATTATACAGACATCACCATGTTCACCAAAGTACTACGACGATTGCGGCCAAACCAGACTCTCAACATGCAGCTGCTCCCAAGCACGAGAAGCAAAGCCGTTACCAGATGCGTTACAGGACGAACACACCGATCAAACAACAATTGCTGCGAATGTTCTCAGTGAGTAATCACCGTATCTCCATATCCATTTCACCATATTGAACACCGTGTTCACTGTGTCCAGCCAGACCATATTTAGCACCATTTCCTTTGTAGTTTCTGGCTTGTTCTCCTAGCCCTCACACCGATAATGACTGCGATAATTACGATTGCAGTACGAGACTGTGTGTTGACACCCAGACGCTCTTTTTAGGTCTGCCCGGCCCCCAGCGAAGCGCGCCCGTGGTTCGTCGGGAGCGCTGACATCAGCCCGGACCTGCGGTCGCCCGAGGACAGGTACCCGAAAGACAAGTACTACCACTACGCCTCTGAGCCCTTCGACTTGGATATTCTCGACGACTTCATCAGGGACGGGTACAACGACACATTGACTTGGGCTCAGAGGTTCTTGCAGACGTCGAGGCAATACAATTGAAGCAGTTGCGCTGCTCTTAATGCAGTACACAAACTTTTGTGCATGCCGTCCAGTGGAAGGCAACTCCTCGTGGAATGTGGAGTTGCGCTGCCACCTTGTGCTGCCTGGTTATAGTACATTGGATGTGCCTTCGCCCTGTGCTGCTGCCATCATTGCTTGAGGTTGCTCTGTTCGCCCGGGGATTTGTTCGGCCATGCTGCGGACCAGTGTGTGTGGCCGCGAGGTGCTGGTGAAGGAGCGCGCCTGGCTGCAAGCGCGCCTGTTTTCATCCCTTCTATTATTCTTTTATGCCGAGCCGAAATTTGCGCCAGCTTGTCTCTTTGGCGGATGGTGCCTTTGCACGCTAACGGCAGGCATTGATATTCTTTCAGAGAGGCGGTTCACTCTGTTCCGCGCCGAAAACTTGACAGAATCTCAGCCAATCTCGCTGTGAGAAATTGTTTTGTAAGGGAGTGGTACGCAATGGGGCGGGCCACGCTGTGCGAAACTGAGGAGGCGCGACGTCCAGCGCCCCTCGATCCACATCGCCACAAGCCTGCGTCCCCGCCGCGGCTCACTTGACCCCCGTCAGGCCTTGCTGCACATTTTCGACGTTGCTGGACAGTACATGCGCTTGTGGACAACATCTGGAATTTTTGGATTTTCTCCTTTTCGTACTTTTTCTTTATTTTGCATGTCCAACCAAAAATTGTCAACAGGTTGGAGTCCGAAGAACGCGGTAACGGTTGTTTCTTTATCCTTCGTTTTTCCTTTTTTCTTCTCAGAGCCCCAAAAAAGAATTGCTCAACAGGTTGGAGTCAGAAAAAAGAGGCTCACAAAGGTATCTTGTTCCCGCTTTTTTCTCCCCTTCTTGTTGGAGTCCAAAAAACAATTGGTCAGAAGTCCGAGCCCAAAAAAGCGGTCTACAAACCGAGGCCGCGCCGAAGTGGCCGGGCGCGTGCGCGTGACGCCTGCCTGCCCACCTCGCCAAAAAGCCGCGGCTCCCCGCTGCCCGCCCAAACCCACACCCTCCCTGCCCTCCCCAGGCCTCTTTCTGGTGCCCCATCCACCGGCGGCGCTGCACGAATCGAGGATGCCCGCGCAGATCCTCTTCTCGCTGGTGGCGCGCGGGACAGTGGTGCTCGCGGAATGCAGGTGGGGCGAGGGCGCGTGATCGAGTCCGCCACCCACCCGGCTACTTTTCCCTCCGCGGGTTTTCTGATCTTGATTCGCTGACTTGGCGGCACGGCGGTCGTGTGCGGGTGTGTGCGGCAGCACGGTGTCCGGGAACGCCATCCAGATCGCGCATCGGATACTGGAGAAGCTGCCGACGACCGACACGTGAGTGGGGTTCGCGGGGGCGGCTTGGGGTGCGGGACGCGCACGAAATCAAAAAACTGGTCGCCTTGTCCTCACGCGACACACCGGGGCCATTGCAGTTTGCACCGGACGACTATTGCAGCCGAGTGGGCAACAAAAACGTTGTTCTGTCCCTTGTAAGTTCGGGCTTGGATGGTGGCTCAGGCGCCTCGGCAAGCTGCTGCGTGTCGCCTTTTTGATGTGGCTTCTGTGATGCCCACGTTTCCTTCTGGGAGCTAGGAAGAAGATAAGGCCGGTGATTGGATGACCCCAGTACTGTTGTAGACATGGGTCGCTTTGGTTGCGAGGGCTGTGGCTGTTTGCAACATCTGCACATGCTGCAGTAGTTGCTGTTTGCCCGAGTCCTGGAAACTTAAGAGCGGCCAGGGCCTTCTGGCTGTTCAGAGGATGACGGGCTGAACTGCACCTGCAGTCTGTTGGAGCGCTAGGGGCAACAACACAGTCACCAGGTTGGCAAGTGGAATTGCTGGATTACCCCTGATGCGTGTAGGAAGAGGAGGGAAATGGAAATGGGAGAAAAAATGCGAAGAAAGTAGCAGAAATAGAAATTGAAAGAAGGGGTTGTACTTGCAAAGATTGTGGTGGAACAACGTGGTCAAGTCATGTCTCCGCAACAAGAAAAGCTCATCCCAAAATCACCATTGACAGTGAAAGTTCGCCCCAAAGCCCGCAACCCTGTAGATTAAGGTAACTGGCAGAGAAACAGAATGAAAGGTGGGCCTCACAGCGAGCTGATTGCTGTCATTTCGCCTTGACATGGCATATATCTTGATGGATCGATTGATCATCTGGGATGCACTACCTGATGGGAATCTTCTCGGGCATCCACAGGCGTGTCTCATACACACAAGAGAGACACATGTATCATGTGGTAGTGGCAGATGGCATCACGTTCCTGTGCATGTCTGAGGAGGTGAGCATGATTTTTTGCTTGTTTTTCCCAGAATGTGCATTCGTTTTGGTGGGAGAATCCTTATGAATGAAGCACACCATGACAACAACTCGATTCGCACATATGGAATATGCGATATCACGTCCTGGCATGGGAAGTCTAGCAGTTGGAATAGGAAGCGGTGTCCTCTCCAATAGTTTGCTGTTTGGATAAAGTTGCTGAAGCCTTCATGCCCTTGGAATTGTGGAGGCAGGCAGTGTTCCATCTGTTGTTCTGGTAAATCTGATTAATGACGCATTCTATATCCAAGGGGTATGAGTGCAGGATCAGTTTGGTGCCTGTCTGGGGTTGGAATTTATGCCCATCGTCCCATTGCATATGCTGTGTATCTGGTGTCATGTGTGCTTGGATGTGTGTGGATTTGGAGTTTTGTCTTTCTTTTTTTGCTGTGCTAAACCTGATTGCCGATGCTGTCTGTGCACATTCGCTGCTGCACAGGGTTTTGGGCGCAGAATCCCATATGCATTCTTGGAAGATGTGAAGAACAAATTTGTGGCCACCTATGGAACAGCTGCCATGAGTGTGAGTTGAAGGCTGCCTTCCACTGCTGAAATTCAGCCTGTTACAGTGTAGCATGTTCTAACAAATCTTCATGAATAGTTTTTGCCGTCGAATCTGGACATGGGTTGGACTCTGCAAACCTCTCAGCAAGGCCACAACAAACAAGCTCTGTTCAAGGGATGCCTCAAATTGTGTGGGCCCATTTGATCACCTACTTGTATGGGAAAGAGGCAAAACACTCTCTTGTGTTATTGCTTCTCACGAATTGATTGGCCACAACAAGCAGTGCATGTTACGACGATTCTGGCACCTAGAGTCTTGAGTGGGCTGTCATACATTGGAACTTAAAAGAGCGAACGAGCAGCTGTGCTGGTTTTTGCTGTTGCACAGCCACCTTTTGGACTGCTATATAGAAACAGGATCTTCATTCAGCTCATTCTGATTTGCAACAAGCGCTTGCCACTGCAAGAATATTGAGGAGCACTGAAAACAACGTTGCATTCGCACCTTTTCCAGAATGCGTGCTGTGTTATTTTGGAAGCAGAAGTAAAGAAGAACAGACAAAAGGTTGCCAAAATTATGCACCTGAAGTCACCAGCTGATCCCCTTGCCAACCTGGCAATCTGGGATTCTCTGTGCGTGGGCATGACATCCTCAGACGAATGTGCCGCTGGTGCATTTAGCTGTACGTGCAATAGCGCAGTCCTTGTATAGTACATTAATAGCACACATAGCATTGCAGCACTTACCCAACATTCTGTGGTGCTGCAGCCCCACAGCGCTTTCCCTGGCAGGTCCTCAGCTGTCAGCAGCAGTTCAGGGCAGGGATGCTTGTCATACTGTGGAAGCTCACTCGCGATGCATTAGCAGTGCAAGTTTTGCTCATCCCTTCCTGCTCATCTTCAACAATGCACACTTGCAAATGTGCGCCAGGTCCAACAGTGCAATTGTAACCTGGCAGCCCTGGTGTGAATACTTCTGCATGCCTTTTTGGCCATGCTTAACACCTTCTCGGCAAATCGGTCAGGAGCTATTCACATCGACGATGGCAATGTTTGCATTCTGGATGACGTGTCCTAACGAACTTGTTGACTTCCTAGCCTTCAGAACTGTCCAGTGTTCTTTCCATGGCAGAAGAACACCCCAGAACACTCAAGTGGAGGTATGCCAACGTCAGCAGTGCTCCCTTAATTTCAGTGAGCACGGAATGGGTCCTGTGGGAGTGCCCTGAGACAGATGTGGTTTTCCTTGCTTTTCAGGCTGTGGCCTACGAATACAGCACAGAGTTCTCTCATGTGCTGGAGCAGCAGATGGACTACTTCACCAACGACCCCAACGCGGACGCCATCACCCGTGCCAGGGGCGGCATTGCTGAGGTCAAGAACATCATGATCGAGAACATCGAAAAGGTGCTGGAGCGGGGCGAGCGGATCGAGCTGCTTGTCGACAAGACTGACCACCTGAGCAGCGAGGCGTTTATGTTCCGCAAGGAGGCCAAGAGGCTGAAGCACAAGATGTGGTGGAAGGTGGGGCCTGGGGAGCTGGGGCCACATGTGTCCACTCACTGATTGTTCTGTTTGGTGCCGATGATTTGATGGAAGGCTTGGCATTATGCTGCTCCTTGCAGTATGTAAGAAAAATCAATTCAATTTCAGCAAGAGCTCATGGCCAGGATTGGGGTGGGGGGGGGGAGAGTGGGGGCTTGGGGGATGGGGGGTGGAAATCTTGATGGGGCAGAGATGTCATCAATACAAAGATGATTGGCAAATGTTCAGGCCATTTCTCACGGTCCAAGATTCGTTTGTTGCATGATGGACAATGTGCCTTACAATGGGCTTGGACGGGCAACACAGTGTGGGCACTGTCCCATGTGCACTGCAACTACACAGAAGAGGGTTTTAGATACAGATCGTGTGCTGCTGACAGCCCCACGTGGGAAAATAATGCATTTGTTAGTGTGTGCAGCTGGCTCACATGTTTTGCAATGCTTGCATAGGATCCACTAGCGATGGTCCCGAAGCTGAAAGGAGGAATGTGTTCTGTTGCGCAGAACGTAAAGCTGGCAGCCTTGATTGTGCTGATCGTGTTGATCGTCATCTACCTGATATCGGCCTTCGTCTGTGGGCCAACGTGGAAAAAGTGCTCCCACGAGAAGGGCACGAAGGGCCACTCCTAGGGGTGACAACCGAAGAAAACAGAATCCAGCTCTGTTGTTCCTCGTAGATGCTGACGGCATCTGGCCATTTGTGTTCAACTTGGACTCCTTTTCTGCTAGTTTGGTACTGTGCAGTGCAGCGACGGTACAGGTAGTAGGTCACATGCCAAGTACGTTGAGGCAGACTGCTGCCTGTCAAATCATAAATTGCACCCCACATTGGCAGTGGATGTGTGACGTGCTTGCAGCATGGCATGTCGAACTGGACGCATGGGGTACACCCCGGTGATTGGGGTTTGTATTTGTATCATTAAGTTGTTGGGCAATGGAGCTGTTATGCAGAGTCTGTGTGCTGCCAGCAAGAAAATACGCAGCCTAGGCCCAGGACGTGCAACGGATTCACTATTAGTGAGAGACCGGCAAATGAGGTGGATTTACGACATCGAGCTACCATCATGGCCATCCAGAGTCGACT